GGCAGGCAGTGGCCCACCTGTCCAGGCCCCGCCAAGTCCCACCGAACCTTCTCCCTGGGACGCCTGTCCTTTCACGTCTTACCCAGTCTAACAAGATAGCATTTCTTTTGTTGGGGGCGTGTGGGTCAAGTTTAAGAATCACTAGCAGGGCCCTGGCCTGCCCGCTGAAGGACTGCCTGTCACTGTGTGACCTGCAGGCTCCCAGGCTGTGCGGCTCTCCGGGGATCTGGAGGTCCGGGCTGGGTGGATGTGCAGCCAGCACTCAGCCTGCGGTAGGTCTGGATTCGCCCTAAAAACACCATCAGTGTCAGCCGGAAAATCTGGGCCCTGCCTCCTGCTTGGCGAGCGCCTTGCTGGTTATTCACTTGCAGTTTTTATTTAACGTTCATCTCCTTGCTGATGATCAGACATGGGAGAGCAGAGTCCGGGCTTTGTGTCACGCTCCTGCAGACTGCTGCCTGGGATCCCTGTTACTGCCTGACACCGACTCCAATTTCCGAACGTAGCTGGTGGGGCCTGTGGGTCACCTGATCTGGCCACATCTGCCACGGTGTGAACCGCATTCTGCAGAGGGGCTCGACGGGTCAGCGGAGTGACGCACCTGAGGACCGTCTCTCATGGCCTGAGACCCTGGGTCTTCCATGGACCACTCGATCGTCTCTAACTCTGCCCCTGGCCTCAGACTCCTCTAGTCAGTCCCTGGGCTTGTGCAGAAGCAGGGGCACAGCCGCCTGCCTCCTCGGTCCTCCTTCTCCAGACCCCTCTGAGCTTCAGACCACGCATCCTGCAGCCACTGGCCTCCCATCTTAGCACGTGCGCTTCCCAACCTGAAGACGTCCAAAGCGGAGCTCCTCCTCGTCTCTGTGGATCCTCTGTCCTTGTTTTCCCAGCTCATCACATGGAGACTCCAGGCCCTGACGGCCACATCTGATCTCCAAGTCCTGTGAATTCTGCGGTGAGCGCTCCCACGGTTTCTTTCCTGCCAGGCCACCCCCTCCCCTGCCCGACTGCTCCTGGCTTCCTGGCCAGCCTGCTCACCTGCCCAGCAGCCGTGTCCTTTCAATGCAACCTGGTCACATCGTGGTCACACCCACTCCTGGCCGGAGCCTCTTCAGTGTGTGTTCGTGGAATTCTGCGGTGCCTCGGGCAGGACCTGCAGGGCTCTCACTCCATCCTGAAGGCTCTGCTCTGCCCGCGAGCCGATGGCCACCCTCCAGGCCCTCACCCCTTCCACAGGGGCTTCTCTGAACCCCTGCCATGGTGCCTTTCCTGGGCAACCTCGCTGCCCGCACCCACAGTGTCTGCACACCAGCCTGCAGGTCACAGGACTGTCCACCACGCCGACTGGCAGGGTCTGTCTCCGGAGAGGGAGGCCTCGTCCCCTCGCTCACGGCAGGCACTTGACATCACCGTGCCAGGCAGGACCAGGGAGTCACAGCCCTGACTGTCACTGGATGTGGCTCCTGAGGGGTCTTCTTTCCAACCATGAAGTGGATCTAAAGGGGGCTTCTTTAGGATCAAGATTTAGTTTTCAAATAGGAATCACTTGTGAGGAACTGAAAATTTGTTTTAAGAACAAAAGTGACTTTTACAGACTGTGGTCAGAGAGAGGCTGGGGTTTCTGTTTCAGGAGACGCAGGACGGAAGGGTCAGCTGCACCCAGCCGGTCCCCTGTGCTCAGCCTCCTCTCCTGTCAGCCAGTCTCCGTGTGCTGGCCCCCGATGCACGGGTGAGACCCTGCTCACCACCTGTGTCTCAGGAGCGCTCTTCCCGCGAGGGCGTGCGGCTCCTCCCGAGGCTCCTCCTCAGGGCCAGCATGTGGCTGCCTGAGCACAGGCCGTCTTAGGAGCCACCCCCTTCTGCAGAGTGCCTCTGGAGTGTGTGCCTTTTCTAGTGGCGGTTCCTCATATTTTCTTGTTTCATGGATACTTAAGTCTTAAGGCTGCGGGACCACCTCTCGACGTGTGGGCAAAGCGGTGTGCGTAGGCTCAGGTAACTGGGAGAGGGGCATCGTGTACCATATGCACCTACAACCACATTGTGGGGGGTTGGTAGGCACCTTCCACACGACCCTCAACCATCTCTGTTGCTAAGTGCCCATGAAAAATGTAGGAAGTACTTGGTGTCAGGTGCTAGGCATGTGCTCCTGGCCTCACCGTCCAAGCCACATGACAGAGCAGATGGTAGATTTGGGAAGAGGTGTTGTGTTCCTGGCCTGGGGCAGGGAGGCTTGGGATTCAACCCGGGGTGCAGGGGGATGGTGGCCCTAGGGAAGGACTCAGATGAGGTTGAATAAATCCGACATGTGGAACTGGGCAACCCAAAGTGTTCCCAGTCACCCAGCATCCGTGCCGTGGAGGAGAAGCTTGTCCCCTGCTGCAGACTCATGGAGGGTTGAGCTCACGGGAGCACAGAGCGGTTGGTCCAGTGCCTGGGGATCCCCGGAGGTTCTGCACCCATCATGGGATAGAAAACTCCCACAGATCATGTAGCGCGACCTGGTAGCAGTGTGGCCTTGGCTGTGAGGGGCTCTGAGGCCAGCTTCCTTATGCTTCCTTATGCTCTCCCTGCCTATAGCCCTCAGCTCTGCAGGACTGCGCCCCTGGCCACAGCCACCTCTGTAAGCCCCTCACACCCACAGAGGGGACCCCCACTCCTGCACTGTCCCCAGCTCCAGAGCATATTGAGCACCACCCCCGTGGCTGACCAGCCACCAAACCTGCTCGAGTCAGGGGCATGGAGCAGGAACAGGCCAGTGTCCTCATCTGTCGCTGGGCGGGCAAGCTGGCCGGCAGACAGCTACCGCCAGGCCTGTGCCCTGTCCCGCCTCCTCCCTGAAGGAAGGCGATGACTGCCAAGGGGCCGGGGCACAGAGGGCCTGAGCTGTGCCCGGTGCTCCTGTCCACCGTGTTTCATGCTCTCTCCTCGCTGGGCCTCTGGCACAAGGGATCTTAGCCCTGGTTTGGGATGGCCAGCTGTGTGTAACGAGGCAACCTGACAGCTGCCACCTTTGCCACCCGGGCGCGCGTCTGTGGCCGTCACCTCATCTCCAGGGTGTCCTGCTCGCTGAATGGGGCTTTGCCACCSGTGCCCTCTGCCGTCCTCCCTCCGCGTCCCTGGTGCCACCATCCCACCCTCTGCTGCACGCGTCTGAAGACCCGGAGCCTCAGCCGGGGACCTCAGGTGCACCGCGTCCCTGGCGCCTGCCCAGGTGTCCCTCAGGCCACGCCATCGTGGTGCCTGTGGGCTCGCCCATGAGCGCTGCGGCCTTTCTTCTCACCCTTTCTTCCTTAAGTTCTGTGACCTTGTCTTCAAACCTTCTGTGAAATAAAGACTCAACACAGAGACACGAAACAGAGGCCTAAGGCAGAGGTGGCATGAGCCCGCCAAGCAGAGGCCATGGCCCCACCAGCTGACTGCCACCTGGCCCCCAGGAGGGTGGGGCTCCCCTCTGCTACCCAAGGAGGCCGGTAGCCTTGGCTGTGAGTGCGCCTCCCCGGGGGGCACGGCGGAGCACYTGTCCAGTCTGCATGGGGTCTGCCTTTTTCCTCCTGGCCTCAGACGTATTCCTATAAAATGTGAGATCTGGAATTTGGGAGCAGTTTTAAGCCCTACAGGTTTGAAAGCTAGCTAGGAAGCTAGCTGGGAATAAGAAACAGACCGTGCAGGGCTGGTGCGGTTTGGCTGGAGCCCTGTCCTYGCTGCAGGACGCTGGATTCCATCCTCCACCTCTAGAAGCCTCAGGAATGGCGAGAACCCGGAGGTCGAGCCCGCGAGTGACCAGCTGCGGGCCACAGGCAGCCCCCACCCGGGGCTGGAGGCTGTTTTTAAACCGAGTCCTATTGGTGAGACCAAGAGGCATGCAGTGTTGTGAAGGGGAGCTTCTGTGGGGACAGGCAGAAAAGAGCCCTGAGCTGGGCTGGGGCAGCCGCTCCCTGCTCCTGGGGATGGTCTAGGTGTTCTCCTGAAGGCACTGCAGTCGGAGGTCCCGGGGCCCGAGGGCGCTTGGTCTCCAGCTGGTGCTGGGGCCCTCTGTGCTCCTTGGAGAACCCCTGAGCGTCAGGGCTTTCCACTGACTTTTCCTTAAGCGGAAGCTGGGACATTACTTCCTGCTGATGCCTGCATGGCATGGGGGTCACTCCCGGTGCAGGAGTCAAGTGAGAGGGGTGCCGGCCGGGGGAGCGGGCCGAGGCTGGCCATGTTGGGGTGTGGCAGCCAGGCTACTGGTCCACGTGGGCTGTGGGTGCACGGGTCCTGGTTGATATCTGAGCTTTGCTCCTGCCTTTTATTAGGGAGTTTAGGGGGTGAGAAGAGCAGAGAGCTCTGTCTTGGGGTCATGACAGGGGGCACAGCGAGTGCTCCCCAGGGCCTCGCTGAGCTGCCCTCCCGTGGACAGGCTCCCCCACCTGCGCTCCTGATCTTCTCATCCTGGCCCAGATGACCTCCTGGTCTACCACAGCTTACAGGGACTTGAAGTGAGGGCTGGGTGACCCTCTGCCAGACCTGGCTCTGTCCCTCCCGTGACCTGCTTCTTGGGCTTCAGGGACCTCATTGCCCCGTCTTCAATTGGCGTCTGGGAATATTCCTAGGCAGTGGGCCTTCACGCTTCCACGGGGCAGGCGCTACAGGTGGGAGGGGCCGGGCCAGGCTGTTTGTCAGGCAAAGCCAAGCCTCGTCCCCGCGGGATGTGTGCAGAGGCCAACGTTTAGTCATGTCTCCCTCGCCTGCCGTACCCAGAGGCATGCTGGGACTCACGTGGCATTCCCCTGTGACTGCAGGCGGTGAAGGGTCGCCTGTGCGGCAGCCTCAGAGCGCAGCACCAGGAGCCTCACCTGGCCAGGTGTGCAGCGTTGGGCTCTAGCCGCTGCCATTAGGGGCTTTCAGCAGGGGACAGCGAAGAGGAGCGCTGCTCGCACTGACAGCTGTGGGGCCCACAGCCTGTGGCTCTACCCGGAACAGGGCACGTGGTGGCATGTATTTGTCATCTCACAGAAATTCCTATGTGCTTCCTGTGCACGCATCGTGTGCGGCCAGAGGGTGGGGAGCGCCCATCTGCTTCCTCCAAATACAAGGACTTGCGGACAGCCAACGCCTGGCCCTTCAGAACTGTGCTGTTTCGCCTTCCCAAGCCGCTGACTCTCCATGAAGTTTCAGTTTGTTTGGGAACTGGAGCCCATCCACGTTCTGTTCAGCAGCAGCCGAAGCTGGTGCCCCACTTCTTGAAGGGCGGCCTGGGCTCCCCTCCCCTGGGAGGTACCTGAAGGAGACGGCTCAGAAGGCCCAGGGGAAGTGGCTGKAAAGCGGCTCTCCAGCCTCGGGGGCTTCATCCCCTGTGGGAAACTGCAAGTGCCCAGGATGCTCAGGCCACTAGCCCAGGCCATCGCATACTCCCCACGGTGTGACTGCCTGCTCTGGGTTGGGGCAGGCAAACCTTTTTCTAGGGGCCGGGCATTGCAGACGGCCGTCTTCGAGGCCAAGTGTCCTCTATCTTGACCACTGGAGCCATTCTGCACCTCGCAGCCTGCAGCGTTCGTCAGCAAAGGGCTCCGGGTGGTCCAGGAAACTGTGTTGACCAAAACAGGCCACAGCTGGCCCTGGCCCAGGGGTGTCCTCCACCCCGGCTCCCGTTTGATTAGTGAAGCCCTGGCTGGGTCTGATGGCTCTATTTTGTTTCTATTAGGAAACGATTCTGGTGAAATGCCATCGTCCTGGCCACCCTAAGATCAATAAGACGTATAATTTTGAAAGGTAGGTGCTGGCCGAGTCCACATGAACCATGCACATCGTGCCTGGGGTTGACTGACACGTGCCCCCTGTCCTGCCTCTGGGGGATGGCGGTTAGAGATGACCCCTGTGCCCACCCCCCAGGTAAATCCAGGGCTTTCTCTCTTTCTCTCTTTTCTCTCTCAAACAACAGGGCCTGAGTCAGAGGCCTTCCTGGTCAGCTGGGTGTGAGGGATCCTGGYTCCTGAGTGGCAGGGGGACCAGGGAGGCACAGAAGGGCTGCAARTAGGGTTGGGAAGTCCCCCCCACCCACCAAAGGATGGTGAGGGGCCCTGGGCACAGGCTTAGTCCTCTGCTCCTAACCGCAACGTCTGAGGACTCTCTTCCTGACCCTGCAGTGGCCTCTGGCTTTGTGGGGACAGTTGGAGATTCACGGACTCCTCCAAGTCCCCAGCTAGGTGCTCACCAACACACAAGTGAGTGGGGGCAGGGTGTCCTGAAAGAGCCTCCAGGGAGAAACAGTGGGCCTCAGAGCACACACAGTCCACCAGGCGCCGTCCAGCCGGGGTCTCGGGGACTGGGCTGCCCAGCAGCACTGAGGTGTCTGCCTGCACACACCCCCATGCTTCTGAGCTCCCAGGCAGGGCGCCACCTGTCCACCTCCCGTATCCTCTCAGCTTGTGGACAGGCAGGGGTCTCGAGTGTGTCGGGGTGCACATGTAGGCCTGCACGCAGGCCCCGCTCCTGCAGGATGCCAGAGCAGCCTTCCTCCCCCGACGCAGCCTCTGTTTGTCACAGAGTCTACGGTCCAGCAGAGTCTCAGGAGGCTGTGTTTGCAGATGTGTGCCCCCTACTGACGTCCTTCCTGGACGGGTGAGTGAAAACCAAGGCCATGATCACAGTTGCATTTAAACCTAAGCAAACCTCTTCCCCATACAGAAATCAGAGGCCTGGCCGGGGGCAGCCCGTGGCCAGTGCTGGCTCTGTGTCCTGCACTGCAGCATGCCTCCACCCCTGGAGAAGGAGGGCACTGCTGTGCAGAGCGTACGGGCCTGAGCAGGGCTTGGGTGGCTGTGGGTGGACCTGGGCCTCCTGGCGGCTGCCTTTACCCTCTGGGATTCTTTACATTTCAGACGTCTTAGAAGTCTGCTGTGAACGTTCCATCATGTCGGGGGCCCTGTCTATTCTTAGGAAACACAACTACCGATTTTAAAGGTAGTAAAGAGCACTTAGGAGTATAGAGCACTTCTTTAGCCATCAGTTAAACCAGGTTGGAATATTGAACTGAGGATCTTCAGGCCACAACTTGCCCAGAGGTCCACATCCAACTCCCTGGAGAAGATGCCCCGATGTCTGCCCAGAGAGGAGGCCGCGTGACCGACCTCCACAAATAGAAGCTAATTGCAGGGTTGCTGTCTCGCCATTGGTGCCCTGGCTGCCCGAGGCCTGTGATCTGTGGAGCGGGGCTGGCCCATGTCCACCTCACCACCCCGCACCCATCGATCCCCGCTCATTGCTGGGCAGTTTCTGCCTCAGCTGGCTTGTGTCCATCTGCCCTGGAGATGGCCAGGCTGCTCTGGTCAGCAGGCATCTTTTCAGAAGTGAGGAGTCCCTGGCTGAAGGCTCGGCTGCACTCGCCTTCCCCTGGTAACCGGAGCGCTCCGCGCTGTCCCAGCCTCTGTGCTCTGCTGGCTCAAGGGCAAGGGAGGTGGGCCCGGCAGATGAGAGTGGGGTGTGGCGGCTCCCGTCACTGCGCCTCGAGCCTCCTCAGTCCCGAAGTGCAGGGCGACAGCTTACAGGCCCTGAGCTGGTCCCTGTGGCCCCAAGGTCTCTGGGATGCGACAGCTCCCTCAGTCTGGGCCTCTGGGCTCGGCACTGCTCTGGGCACTGAGTGTTCAGATGACCACCAACCAGTTGCCCAAACCTCTGTCCAGGGAAAGCACTCACTTGACTCAGAGATGAGGTGGACAGTGCCCATCCAAAGGAGAAGCCAGATCAGAGCCTCCGGGTGAGGGGAGTATGGGCCTGGGAATGCTGGGTGACCTGCCGGGCAGTCAGGGTGGAGGACCCTGCAGTGCATCTGGCCAGCACCTTTCAGGCAAGACCGCCTGTGGCTGAGGATATCATTTCATGTGATAAACTAATTTGAAACGTTAGGTAGATGTTTCCAACCTTCTCATGGATGTTTTGGCCCACAGGACTGGAGGGAAATTCAGAGTCCATCAGGAATCCTTGCCTTCTGTGGAACCAACTGTGGTCCCGTAACCCCAGGGCAGGTGGTGGGGAGGGCCTGGGCACTGGTGGGTTCACTGGGAAAAGGAAAGCCCACGGTTCCTTGTGTTGTCCTTTTTTGTCCTGAAACCATCGGTGTACAACGGTGGCCACTGTGCTGCTGACTAACTAAAACCAACAAAGTGTTCTCAGAACAAGGTAAGAAAACATGCAAACTTCTATGGCATTTCATGAAACATGAAGATGCACTTGCCCCGGGCCACTCTAATACCGCAGTGAAAGTCAATGAGACATTGTGGGAATTCGGAAGGGACCCACTGTGGGTAGGCCCTGGTGACCTGTGAGCTGACGGAGGACCCGACCCATGAGAGACGTCGGATGCGAAGCAGGCGGGGCGAGACGCGGGCTGTGTGCAGAATAGCCACACGGTGGCCGTAGTGGCACTAGTCATGGCTGAATGAAAACCTGACTTACAAGAAGTGGAGTCACAGGGAGACACGAAATGAAGTGTGTTGAAATTTCACCTTCAGTGAGGGCGCCCTCACGCTGGGCGGTGGCCGGCCGGGCGTGTGCTGCTGCCTGAGCGGGCTTTGCCTTTCAGGTTCAACGTGTGCATCATGGCCTACGGGCAGACTGGGAGCGGGAAGAGCTACACCATGCTGGGGCCGCATSCTGAGGACCAGCCCGGGCTGCCGTCGGGGGCTCTCGCTGACTGGGGAATTATCCCCAGAGCTRCGGAGGAGCTCTTCAGGTACCTGGATGGCGGTGATGAGCACAGAGCCTCGTGCTGGGTGGGATGAGACGGGGCGGGAGGGATGGAGAGCAGGCCCAGGGCCAGCTCACTCGGGACAGCCGTTCACTCAGCTCACGAAAGCCTCTTGAGGACAGAGCGCTTGACCAAGATCCCTGGGCTCCTTTCCCCCCGGGAGCAAACTCCTCCTGATGGAAGGTCTCCTGTTCCATTAACGGTCCCCACAGGAGACCTGAGGCCACGGTCAGGATGTCCCCACCCAAATCAGTCCTAGGAAGAAACATAAGGTCCCCAGCCGCCCAGGTGGGCAGGGCCCATGGCGACGGCGAGGCTCTCTAGCCCACGCCGGGCTGGGCCTCCCGTCTTGGCCTCCGCACTCCCCTCTGGTTCTCACGCTGCTCTGCACGCACCGTGGCTGCCCACCCAGCCAGCCCGGGCCCTGCCCCGTGGGGACAGACAGCACGGCCAGCGACCTCTGTGCCCCCCACCCTGAGACTCGACTTTTGTCTCTACCTCCTTATGTTGTCCTTTTGTGTCCTAAAACCAGGGATGAACCATGATGTAGCAACCCCACCAAGCCGGGTGCTTTAGTGTCTTCAAACTGGTATTCCTTAAATATCTGTCAGACTCACGTGTCTACCAGTTTACTTGGACCAAGTACTTCTGGGTACATGCTGCAAAGTCCTTCCGTATTTTCTGTCCTTGGCCACCATGTCCTGGACACATGCCCTTTGCATAATGTTGTGCTGCAGTGACCGGTCCTGGAGATCAGGACTTCCCAGCATGTGCCTCGTGTGAGGGGAGGGAAGCTATGCCTGTGCCCTCAGGGATCCCCCAGGGCACATGCGTCCATCCTTCCCCATCTCCTCGGCTGAGCAGAACAGGGCCCTGGGAATAGCTTCAGGCCCCACCACAGACACACACCAAGAGCTGGCTCACCGATGCTGAGCTCGGCTCTTGGGGTCCAGCTTTGGAGGAGTCTCGGTGTCTGCAGACACTGCTCCGCTGTGGGTGCAGAAGAACTCAGAGATGAGGTGGACAGTGCCCATCCAGGTGAGAAGCAGATCAGAACCTCCACGGTGAGGGGAGTGCGGGTCTGAGCCCCCAGGCACGGCCAGCTGCTGGCTGCAGCGTGAGGCTCCTCACTTCCTTTGGAGGCTGAGGGCTGAGAAGGCCTGCAGAGGAGATTACCGGGGGAGCGTCTGCCCTCTGCCTGCCTCAGCCCTCCCGCTCCCCCTTCACTGTGAAGGACCTGTGCAGGCAGCCTCTCRGCATCTGTACCCGGAGCACCAAGCCATCTGGACCACCGGAGCAGACGGCGTGGCGGGCTCAGATCCTTAGAGAATTGACTAGAGATGGGCAACAGGCCTGACCAGTCAGTTCATGCAAATGGCCAAGAGGCCTACGAGTGCTCCACAGCACCAGGCGGGAAATGCGGGTCAGAACCACCGTGAGCCCTCCCCGGGCTCAGTGAGAATGGCCACTGCCAAGAAGACTGAAGGTGACCGCTGGCGAGGAGGTGGAGGAAAGGGCCCCTGCACTGTTGTGGGAGTGTAAATCAGCACAGCCAGCGTGGAAAACCACACGGAGATTCCCTGAAACCCAACAGTAGAACTAGCACGTGACCCAGCAATCCCACTGCCAGGTACACGTCCAGAGGAGAGGAGTCGTGTGCTGAGGGACACGGCTCTCCCTGGGTCACCGCAGCTCTATTCACAGGAGCCAAGACAGGAGCAGCCCGAGTCCATCAGCTGAGGGTGGACAGAGAAGGGGCGGGGCTTGTGCCCCATGGAGCACGAGCCGGCCACAGGAGGACGATCCTGTCGTGTACAAGAAGATGGACCTGGAGATCGCTGTGCCAGGAGAACTAAGCCTGACTCAGAAGGACAGGCACCGTGTGATCTCAGTCCAAGGGTAAGCTGACGAGGTGATCTCTCGGAGCTGAGACCTCAGCTGGTCACCTCAGACGAGCTCTAGACATTGTTAAGCCAGACGTGGGGGCGAGTCTGGGGGGGGGCGGTCTCGCTGAATGACCGGCACTCTCCCTCCTGTGATCCGAGGGGCTCTGTGGGTCACTTTCCTAGTTACCTGGACATTGCCCGGATCCTGGAAGCAGCAGAATGTGTCCTCAGACATAGGGGAGCCACCCTGCAGCCCCAGGGGTCGAAGTACTCTCACCTGTCCTTGTGACCCTGCCCCTCCTGGTCTTTTTTGATGGAACTTTCTAAGAATGAGGGTCCCCCCAATAAAAGCCCACTTCCAAACGTGCTCTCTCTCTCTCTCGCCAGCCTCTCATGACTCTCCTCGCTCTCCCATTTGGGGAGTTTGAGGTCGAGAGCGGAGGAGCCGTCCTGGAGCCTGATTTAAAGGTGAAGTTTGTGTCTGTGTTTTATTTGGGGTCCCAGGAAATTCACACGAGTGACCTGAAGTTCAGCTGCCCGCACTGGTCGGGGGCAGCATGGGTGTGCCGGAGTTAACATGTGCTCTGTCCTCCCGCCAAAAGACAAAGTTACAACACGGGRCCCGCGTATCCGGGAGTGTCTGAGGACCCTTTACCCTAAGACAGGGTCCTGCCAGACTGCGCCTACCAGAGGAGCCATTGCTGCCGTCTGAAATGAGATTCGGGGACTCTGCGCCGGCATCTCCCYGCTTCCTTCTGAGCTGGCTGTGGACACCGCCTCCTGGGCTGGGTCTCTGCTCACCCTCATTCACCGGATGCAGGACGCTTTCCTCAACCGTCCAAGGCATGGAGAACGTGAGGTGTGTGTGATGACTCTTCAGCCCTCAGAAGCCTGGAGTGGAGAGGTCGCAGCAGGAGGACGTGTGCAGGACCACTGGACAGGACACAGAGCAGCCGAGGGCACGCAGGAGGGAAAGGGGTCTCTGCAGGGCCTGCCCATGTAACCCAGGAGCCTGGGCTGGTGTCGCCTGGGCTGACCACAGGACACTGCTCTCCGTGACAACCACATATCTTGCCCGAGAAACTTCGCTGCTTAAAGGCTAAAAGAGAAGATGCAGTTTCCGACCACTTCTGGAATCCAGAGGGCGACTTGATGAGCATTTTAAATGAACTCTGGGGAATTCTGTGGATGAGAAGCATCTGCTTCGGGGCCCATGGCCCTGAGACACATGGTCCCTGCCAGGAAAGGCCACGTCTGCAGAGGCCATGTCCACCCAGCTGCYGGCTCAGTGAGCTCCTCTGGCATCTCCCAGACCCTGTTCCTGGCACGGTCCCCACAGACTGCAGTGTGAGCWCGCCGGCGTCTGGACCCTGGCCTCCTCTTCCACCTTTGCTCTGTTGCGTAGGTCTGTTGTTTGCCATGAGAAGACATCGATTGCTTGTTTTACCCACAACTGTCTCTAGATCTGGACTAACGACTCCTTCTAGCAAAGCTCGGACGGGAAAATCTCACAGGACTTGCCTCAAGCACACYGTCAATGCCCTCCCCTGGGCCCGTCCTCCGGGGCGAGAGCAATGCAGGATGGGGATCAGCTGACCCAACTGTGCTGTGTCAGGGAGGTGGGAATCTGGACCATGGAGCAGCTTCATTTGTCCTTTGGCCTGGGACAGGTCGGGGGTTAGTTTTGTCAGAGGGCAGAGCAGGATGAGGAGGGATGTGGGAGGGCGGGCGGTGGTGGGGGTGGGCTCCCCTCTAGGTGTGCAGCCCCCTTAGTTCTAGTTCTCCAGTGGTCAGCACATCACACTTTAAAAGCTGAAGCATAGTGAGACTCGTGGTGGTGTTTGAGAGCTGAGTGGGTGTGCAGGAGGCCAGGGGACATTGGGGGACTCATGAGTGGATTGGCCTCCCTGAAGCAGGGGGTTCAGACCAAGGAGCCCTGTGGTCTGCAGCTCGCCCCAGGCTCGTTCCCCAGGGTGAGCTGGCTGCGGGGTCTCTGCTCCTGGTTGTGAATCCTTCCTCTTCTCCACCTGGGCYGCAGGGCCTGTGGGTAGGACTGTGCAGCAGCTGATTTAAGCAAGACTCCCCTGAAGTCACTGTGTCCCCAGGGCGCGGTTCTCCCTCCAGGTTAGATGGGTGCTGTGAGGCCTGCCCTGCACCCTGCTGCGGGATTCCTGCTGAGTGTCTGTGGCTGCGGCCATCTGCCATGGGGCCGGGCTGTCCTCTGTTGGTCAACCCCGTGTGTGCTTCCCCAGGCTCATTTCAGAAAGTCCACCACCGAGAAGCCCCACGGCTGAGGTGTCCATAGTGGAGATTTACAATAACGACATTTTTGATCTCCTGGCCAAAGAGGGTTCTGGAGCAGTGGCTGGGATCAAGCGTGAGGTGGTGACGACCCAGGAAGGATGCACAGAGGTCCCCGGTCTGACCTGCACGTGAGTTCAGGACAGAGGTCCCCTGGCCCCCGAGGGGCAGTTTCCTCCCAGGCCCAAGCAGAGCCAGCTGTGCAGGAGGATCCGGCTGGTGGCCAGCGGGACGGGCCACATGGGCTTCAGTGTTCAGTGCATGTCACCCAGTTTTTAGTTTAAGAATTTTCCTTCCTTCCTCCCTCCCTCCCTTCCTTCCTTCCTTCCCTCCTTCCTCCCTTCCTTCCTTCCTTCTCTCTCATGGTGCTGGGGATCAAGCAAGCCCAGGGCCTTATGTGTGCCAGGCAAGTGCTCCACCACTGAGGTACACCACCAGCCCAAAGTGACCTCTTTTACTGGAAACTGTGCAGGGGTGACAGATATGTTAATTAGCTGGAATGCTGTGACTGTGTCACAATGTGCAAGTCTGTCAAAACATCAAGGTGTTCAATGATTTTCATATGTTGGTAATATGTTAATAAAGCTGTTGAAAATGAAGAAGGGGTGGAGCCGGGTGGTGGAATGCCAGCCTGTGCTTGTAGGGCCCTGGGTTCAGTCCTCAGCACAAGAGAAAGAAATAGAAAAAAGGCTTTTTAAAATCTATATGAATAAATGTGTCTTTAAAAGTCTTCATGAGAGTCCACGGGGTGGGTGTCGTCTTGTCACCAAAGGGGGCCCAGGAGGGAGACAGGGACCTCAACTCAGCCTTTGTTGGCTCTTGACATAGGTTGCAGAAAAAGAATTTGGGCACCTGTCGGGAAGAGGCAGAGCAGAGATTCATTTAGGAAGGCAAGGGGCACTCACCGGAGGGACAGAGCGCAGGCCATCTCAAGAGTGAAATGGGCCTTGGGCTCTTCTCTTAAAGGAGACCGTCACCAGGGAGCAGAGGCTCCTTGAATCTGGAGCTCAGGGCGGGGCCTGGTTGTCTTCAGGATCCCCAGGCTGACATTGTTGGGCGTCTATAGATGACTTTTGCAACATTCCCACCTCATAAGTCACTAGCAACATTTTTTCCCTTGGCTTTATTTAGTCTAAAGAACGTAGGTTGTGCAAGCCAGCAGTGTGTGGGGCGCCGGCTCCCTGGGCCCCGACACTCTGAGGCCCTCAGACCTGGGGGCACAGGCCAGGAGTGCAGGGGCTCGTGGGCATCTTGGGGTGAAGTCACAGCCCCCATCCTTCTGTACTCCCCTGTCACCTGTGCTTGTCTTCCATCCTCCTCAACCCCACCTTGAAGGAGAGGAAAACCGGACAAAGTGACCTCACTGCCCACGGTCAGTCGAGGACACTGAACTTCCTCACACTAGAGCATCAGCATTTTATAGAGCTCAGTAATGCAGCGCCTTGTGAATGTGGACGCCTCACATGGCCTGGGTTCTCAAGTTACTCTTGTGAAAGCCCTGTGTGGGTCAGCACCTGACCCACCACTAGGGAGGGACAGGAGGAATTCCCGCCTGAGGCCACGGCGCCACTGCCCAGCAGGGGACTCAGACTCAGCCAGAGAAGGCTGTGCGGCTGCTGGTCCTGTTTCCAGAAGGCTGAGGTGCCAGGCATTTGGTGGTGACATGTTTGCAGAGTAACCCAGACTCTCAGCTGTTGGCTGACGGACTGTGATCAAAATGCAGCCCTTCCCTGCAGAGCCTGGGCAGCAGCCCCGATCCTCTGACAAGGGCTCTTATCGCCTGAATTTAATTTGATAGAATATTCTAAAAACGTGGGTCCGTGAGCGTGAAATGGACGGAGGAAGATGGGAACTGGGGGTTACCGACCTTGGATCTGGTGAAACCACTGGTTATTTTTAATTGCTTATGTTCTGTTTTGCCTAAATCAGCTTCAGTCTCCTCTGGAATTGCCGTACCCATGTCTGGGAGCGGTGTCTGTTAGCGGTGGCACTCTGTGTTGACCTGGCGCCAGCCTGGTGGTGTTTGCTACCTGCCCTGGGGTGCGCTCTAACACTTCTCCCCTGCCAGGGCCGTCGCCAGCGCCGCAGAGCTGGTGGCACTTGTCCACGGAGGTCTGCAGCTCAGAGCRAGGCACCCCACCTTGGTGCACATGGCTTCCTCCAGATCCCACCTGGTGGTGACGGTGACTCTGACCGTGGTGTCCCCCTCAGACAGCACTGGTGAGCTGCTATTGGCGCCGGGTCAGTTCAAGTAGTAGAAATCCACCAAGAGGAAAAATCCCGGGGTCACCGCGGGGTCTGGAGCAGGAATTGCAGCCACACCCTCCAACGACCTGGGATCTGGGACCTGAACACAGGAGGCCCTAGGACCCAGGCTGGGGAGAGAGAGGGAGGTGGCGGGAGGAAGCATCTGCTAGGACATGGGCAACTGGGCATGCGGCACCTGGGGGCGCGGGGCAGCGTCCTGAGGGGACTGCCCAGTGGGAGAGAGAACAACGCCCGGCGTATCAGAAGGCCGTGTCATGCCACAAAGGCCCACGGCGTCCAGAGCAGAGCTCCTGGACTCCAGCCACAGAGGCCCACACGTGCCTGTGCACAGGTGCACGGCAGGGCGCCAGGGGGCAAGGCAAGGCTAGGCCCCGTGTGGCGTGTGGAAGTCCAGGTGCAGAGGGTGTGTCCTGCAGAGCCCGCTCTGGCCCCACCCCCCACGCAGCCCCAGGGAAGCCCTGCTGACCTGCCCCAGCTCATTTCCTCCTTGCCTGGAAGGCCAGTATAGACAGATGTGGTGCGTCCCGAAGGCCAGTGTAGACAGATGTGGTGTGTCTTGTCACAATGACACTCCACACTGTGGTCCCCGGACAAGGGAAATCGGAGGGGGGGGGCAGCATACTCACTCCTCGAGCCACTCCACCAGCCAGCACAGCTACTCCCCCGCACAGGACTTGGCTCAGGTAGGGCCCAGGTAGCGCCAGGCACCTGATATGTAGGGAGCTCTGCTGATCCTGTGAGTGCTGCCACAAGACACAGACACAGAGGTGCCTCTGTGCAGGGGTTCTGGGCTCTCCTACGAAAATCTCTGTTTTCTGTTTTGTGCGATGAGAATAAGCTCTTGAGGGTCTCGTGGAGTCTGTTCAGGAACTTCGCAGGGCGAGACTTCATGCCCAAGGAAACAGCACTTCTTCGGGCTTCTGTGAAGCTGATGGATGGATTTCCAGGAGGGCATGGGTTTTCCCGGGGTTCCAGTCACCATCGTCACCTGGACTACTAGGAAGCATTATTTAGTTTTCTTGGGATGGACTGGGCATTCGTTCGACTTCCCAATGTGAARCATGCTACCCACCTCCTTTTCTTGTTATAGTCCCCTACAGAACCCACCGACTGTCCCTCTGCCCAGTTTGTTTCTAAGAGGAAGAGAGAGGCAGAACCAGCTTCTCGCTGGTGGGTGAGGCTTGGAGGGTGGAGCTGCAAGAGGCCTCCGCACTGACTCCCCACTGACTCCCTGCCCGTTTGTCCTCTGTCCTCCCCTCCAGGCCAGCAGCACCATCCAGCCCCCCTGCAGGGTCACGCTGGGGCAGGGAAGGGGTGGAGCACCTCTCCCCAGGCTCCGCCTCTCCAGCCCCTTCCTGTGGACCCCGCAGGTTCTGCGAGGCCAGCTCGGGCCAAGCTGCAGCTGGTGGACCTGGCTGGCAGTGAGTGTGCAGGTGAGCAGCAGCTGGCGGCCAGCTGGGTAGACAGGCAGCGGGAAGAAGCCCGCACCTGGGGGTGCCCACAGCCAGGCTGTGACCGCCACCAGGAAGCTCTGAGCCTAGCACCTCTGCTCAGGTGACTCGAAGCCCTGTCACATCTGGCCATCGGAGGTCCCCCCAGGGCAGTCAGAGGTCACGTTCTTCCTCCTCAGTTTCCAGGAGCAGCTCTGGCCCCTGGAGGAGCCACAGTGGCGCGATGGCGGAGTCCACTGGAAGGACTCCCAGGAGGTGCCTCCCCACCAGCTGCCGAGAGGCCCTCCGCCCAAGAGCCTCCTTACTCCTGGGCCCTTGCTGAAGTCAGGATGGCTGAGGGGGCTTCTGTGCTTTGCAGGTGCATCTGGGGTGACTGGCCTGGCACTAAGGGAGACCTCGTTCATCAACCGGAGCCTCGCAGCCCTGGCAGATGTCCTGGGTGCCCTGTCGGAGCGCCGTGGCCACGTGCCTTACCGGAACAGCAAGCTTACCCACCTGCTCCAGGACACCATCGGTTCGTCCCCCTCGGATGAACCCAGAATAGAGAACACTGTGAGCTCCACCTGGGGGAGCTGCCCCCGGCCCAGATTGTCCTTGGGCCCACCCAAGTCTGCTGGGCTTTTGGGAGGTCCCTCTCCAACGTCCCTGGCACTTGGTGGCAACTGCACTTGTGCTCTCCACAGTCTTGGGTAGGGCTGGCTGGTGTGCGCCTTCAGAGGTGCACCCCTCGCCATCCAGCTAGGCTCAGGGCTCCTGGGGAAGGCCTCGCATCTCTCCCTCCACCACGCTGGACTCAGCAGCAGCAGGGCCACCTGCTCCAGGGGCCCCAAGCTGTGGGAGCTGCAGCTCTGCTGAGTGGGGTGAGGGCACTGGGTGCAGCCTCAGGACCTGTACCTGCCACCTCTGTGGGGACCGCACTCTGCTCCAAGTGCCTGTGGACTTTGTGTAGGCAGCTGGACCCCGTCCAGTGCTCTGGGACATATGGATGCCATCTGTCATGACTCCTACTCAGCTCACATCTGGTTCCTTTTGTTTAAGGGGGTGATGCGAAGCTCCTGGTGATCCTCTGCGTGTCCCCCGGGCAGAAGCACGTGGCYGAGACACTGCAGGGCCTGGGGTTCGGGGCCCGAGCTCGGCAGGCTGAGCGGGGACAGGCTGGGAAGAGGCCTTCCTGCGCCCAGGTGAGGAAGTCGTGCGTGGGCTCAGCATCTCGATGAGTCCCCTTCCCCGGAAGAGTGCTCCCTGTCACTGTTTTCTAGTGTGAGTGCCTGAGGAATAAATGTGTTTGGATTTGATGAACCTGTTGTGCCCCTGGGACCTGTGGCTGGCTGGCTGGGAGATCCCCGCACAGCTCAGGCCGRGTCACCCGGCACAGGAGGCCCAGAGAGAGGACGGCTCGTCCAAGGAGCCTCCTCCCGGAGCAGGTGGGCAGCAGGTGCTCAGGTGGGTGAGGAGCTGTGCTGTCTGTGCGGCAGGCCCGCGGCCCCCCAGGAGGCCCAGCTCTGTGTGCTGTGCCTCCTTAGACACAAACGAGGCCACAGACCCAGGAGCTCTGCGCACAGGCTTCGGAACTAGACAGATGGGCTCTGCCTCCTCCCGGCTTTGTGTCCCACAGAGGGAAGGCCCCATTTCCTCGTCTGTGAGCTGGGGTGAAGGTCAGGGGTGCACAGTACGGGCAGTGAGGCCTGGTGGAGCAGAACAGGTGCAGTACTCACAGCACACCGTCCCGAGGTGACTGTACATTGCTTCCCTGGCCAAGTGAGGGCCCAGGCTGGGCACAGTGACAGGGGAGGTGAYGAGACCTCCAGCTCTTGGCCAGGGGTCTATGAGTAGTCAGGGCTCTGGGCACCGAGGAGGAAACAGCCCATTTCATGTCCACCAGCCTCTGAACTCACGCAGCTCCATGTGTGGGAAACCAACCCCAGCATCGGGGGACTTGATGCCAGGGCAGGAGAGGGCCTGGAGGGGGCTGGGGATCTGCTCACTCGCTGCTGGTGTCCACGTGTGCTGGGAGCCATGTCACAGGACCCAGTTGCAACCTGAGAGCTGCCTTCCTTGTTTCTGACCTTCTGGGCGGAGCCCCGCTGTACCAGGCTGACAGAGAAGCGCAGGAGACCCTGCCCGCAGGCCCGTGGGGAACGGCTAGACCCGGAGGCCCACAGAGCAGTGGTCAGAGGAGCAGTCTGGAGTCACTTTGTGTTTTCCCCAACCCCTGGTGCTGGGGCTCGGGGCTCTGTGGGACAGGAGGGGGCGAGGGGAGCCCAGCTGGTTCCTGAATTGACTTTCCACCCAAGTATGTGGAGAGCAGAGGCTAGCTGGGGCAGGAGGGTGGGCCACCATCTGGCCATCCATCTGGGGAGGCCCCTGCCCAGGAGGGACCCCTGCCGGGGAAGGCTGTGAGCAGGAACTGTATGCTCCATGGGGGAGGCTGCGGGGAGATGGGTAAAGGGGAGTGAGTCTCATAGTTCCSAGGACCCTCAAGTACCCCCCACACATGAAAGAACCAGGTTTGGAGGGGTTGGGAGTAGGCTGGCCCTCACTCAGCCATGGGTGGGAGGAGGTGTGACCAGAGACAATGACAGCCCCCTGTGCCTCCCTTGACCCTGGACAGGCCTGACTTCAGGTGAGAGGCTCTCGGGACTGGTGCCAGGCTGAACTGGATTTGGGTCAGTGCAGACCCTGCTTAGCACTGAATATGGAGTGTGCACAGGACGTGGGTGTCAGTCCTCAGACAGGGAGGCCCAGGCCTCTCTGGATCTGCTGCCCGTAGATGACTCAGTGCCTAGCAGTGACTCGGGCAGCACAGGAAAGCTGGGGTACAGTGTGTATCCCCAGATTCAGCCCGACACCCAGCAGTGGGCAGCTGCAGTGTGTCCCCACACATCTCTGGGAGGGCAAGGAGCCCCGTTCTGGGTGGCAACAGAGTGGCACACATCCCTAAGATAGCCTGCCCAGGGGAATGTAACATGGCCAGAGGCTGGCCCTCAGCTCTGACCCCCCGTGGGCCCTCCGGGAGCTCCTTCATGCGAGGCCGGAGTTGCACCCTACTCTCTTCCAACCTGTAGGAGGTCTGAGGTCCCTGGTTTTAAAGATGCTTTATGCCGATTTGTTGGAAGAAAAGGATTCAGCAGCAGCTTAAGAAGCACGTAAAGGCTGTGTTGAGGGATGGACCATGAGGGGAGGCAGAAACTTCCTGACCACTGAGTGACCACGAGGACAGGACGTGAGGGGTCCAGTGCCTCTGCTGGGGAGGTTCCCTGAGGACCTGGCTCTGAGCAGAGTGTGGAGGAGGTCAGCGACACTGGGGAGGACACGGGGGCTGAGTGTGTGGGTGCTGTGCTGTCCCCTTGTGGTCACTCCATTCTCTCTCATGCCCAGGCCTGTGAGGGATGCTTCCCACGACACAGAGTGTGTGGGACAGCAGGCCTAAGAGCCAGAGGAAAACTGCTAACCTGGAGGGGTGGACAGGGCTTTGTCAGCACAGGGTTGAAGCCAGGGGCCAGTGACCCTCGAAGAGGCCGTGTGCCTGTGTGTTCTGCGACTCGCAGGGTAAGACAGAGCCAGGCTCCAGCCCTGCTTTGTCAGCAGAAAGGGACGCGCTGCCTTGGGGAGAAAGAGGAAATGGATTCTGGCCCCCCACACGTCTCTGGGGGTGCCAGCAAGCTGTCTGCTCAGGACGAGGCCCAGCTGACCACTGCCTCATCGTGTCCCCTTCCTCCAGGACACGTGGTGTCTGCTGCAGTATCCAGTGAGCTGGGTGAGACGGCCTTAGTGCGTGCGGTCCTGGGGGGAGCGAGAGTGGGCATGTGGTCGGGCAAGTTGGCGTCTGACTGCAGCTGTGCCTTGGCAGGGCTTTGTCCCACTGCCAGCCTCCAGCCTCGGCCCCAGCTCTGGTGTGTCAAGAGCCACACGGTCAGCTCACATCCATTCCTTGGATGCCTACTTCATGTCCAGCTGTGTTCTGGGCACTGGAGATACCACAGTGGACACACGAAGCTCCTGCCCTGGGAGACTGCAGAGCTGGGCGGGAGAGCCACGTTCCCCCAGGCGTGTCCTGCCCCCAAGTGCAAAAACAGTYGGTCATGCCACAAGCTGCAGATAAAATGTGTCCCCAGAGCTCTTCTTGCCAAGGTGACGAGGGCTGGGGTCTGGCAGGTGACTGGGTTAGGGGTAGAGGGCCACGACAGGACTAATGATGTTATTAGCGGTCCCAGGGGTCCTCACCCCTTCTACTGTGTGAGGCCATGGCAAGCAGGAAGAGGCCCTTGACCAGAGTCCAGTTGGCCTGGGCCTTGGGCCTGGGTGTCCAGACCCCAGATGTGTCTCTGCCTGAACAATTTCTGTGCCCGTGATTGGCTGCAGGAGCCAAGCTGAGACTGCATGACAGGAGCCTCCCCAGAGACCAGGTGCCTGCAGGCCACCTCTCATGAGAAGCCATGTGCCAGGCGGGGCTGCAGCCGGGTGGCCACCGACCTCCAAGGCCCTGTCTCTGGGCCAGGGGCATCGCTTCATGGACCTGTCTCCACAATGGGGATTGGTCTGGGCCCAACCCCCTCACACCTCCCAGAGTGGTGCCCATCCTGAGTCCCTTGTGGGTGGCCGAGGTCAGCCTGGGAGTCAGCTGGCCCTGCATGCTCCAGAGGGCCTCTTCCTCCTGCTCCAGCACCACTCAGGCCTCGCAGCCTCTGGCACCCAGAAGAGCAGGCCCCAGCACCAGGGAGATCATACYGTTCGGGACACTGCCCGTGGTCCCAGATGCTCTGTGGTGGTGACTCCAGTTTCTACTGAGCCTGAACCTTGGCCGCCGACTTCAGGTGCACATGGTGACAGCAGCAAAGGGCAGATGGGAGAAGCCACATGCTGCCGGCAGCCCAGCAGGTCCAYAGGAGTCGGGCACGGGCAGTGTTAGGGGCAGGCCAGCACGCAGGCCAAGGGCTGCTGGGGACACTGGGGACGCTGGGGAAGTGGCAAGCCGTGGGGGCCATGGAGGCTTGGGCAGGTGAGGAGCCCAAAGGGGCTCCAGTCTGAGGCCTGTCCGGCAGCCAGGGGCCTGCATTCGCCAGCAGGAGGGCTGTGAGCCGAGAGCTGGGCATGACACAGGTCCCTGGGAGTCAGCCCTGTGACCAGAGGGTCTGACACCAGCATCCCCAGCTTGAGCCTGACCCTGAGGCCGGCAACCTGCAGGTGGTCATGGGCACCCTCTGCCAGGAGGAAAGAATTAAGGCTGGGAAATCTGAAGTAGGTCTGAAGGAAGTTCAGAGAAAAATTAAAAACCATCCAATCCCAACTTTCAAAACCTGGAAAATAACACTAATAATCCCAAGATTCCGAGTCAGCACTTTTATGAACTGGTTGCCTGAGTAACGAGCCACACACAGCCCGGGGCCTTTGCAGCCGGTCCTGTGAACCACGCTCTGAACCACGCGGCTCTCCTGGCTTGGCAGGCCAGCTCCCAGCAGTGAGCCTGAGGCATGTCCCCTGCGCCGGGTAACTGGTGACATGATGAGGACCCAGGGCTGAGAGAGGGGCTGCGGGATTGGGAGGTGTTTCTGCGGCCCCCTGGTGCTCTGCTTTGGGGAGGACATGCCCATCCTGTGACATGGCCTCCGCCCTGTGCTGTCCAGTCCCGGAAGTTCACCACCCCTGCAACCTGGCCTGAGCCCTGGATGCCTCACGCCAGGCCGAGTTAGATGTCTGCAGCTGTGGCCCCAGGGCTGCGCCAGCCCCCTGCATGCCTCAGGYCCCGTGTGGTCAGCCATGATGGGGAGAGCGGTGGTGCCCAGTGGAAAAGGATGGGGTCCCAGCCCCCTCAGCTGCAAAGTCGCCTGCACATTCTATGAAGCTGTAACTGCATGCGCACATTGCTGAGCCCACGGCTTAACCTGCCTCTGGGGCTGCTGGGGGGCTGCTGCCTGAGCCCTGCTGCTTGGCGTGGAGGACCCTGGAAGGCACCGGAGGCCCGGCTCCTCCTATCTCCAGCCACAGAGCAGCCGTCCAGGCCGCAYTGTCATGGAGCTGCGCAGGCTGTCCCAGAAGGGCTGGACTCCAGCTGGCAGTCTCCAGCCTCCGATGGGGGTGCTGACCAGGGCACCGAGGACAGGAACACAAGAGCACGCTCTGYTCCCCAAGAAGCGAGTGTGCCAGCTAGAAGTCAGAGTGCGGAGGGTCCACACTGCCTCTGGGTGAGGCAGGAAGTGAGACCCTGGCCTGGGGCTGACCCGTCGACCTCTAAGTGTCCTCTCCACCCACCTCGCAGACCAGAGATGGCAGCCACAGCAGGGCTGCCTGGTGGTTGAGGTCACTTGGCTCAACTCTCCATGGGCCCCAGGCCCAGAGGAAGGACAGAAATAGAAAGCCCACAGGGCCCAAGTGGGTTCTTGGGTCAGCCAGCAGCCCCCTCTGCCTCCCATCTGGAAGGACATAGGGTGCAGGTCCCGGCCTCCCTGTGACCTTCTGCTGCTGCCCACAGCTGTGCTGAGAAGTCAGGACACACAGGGCAGGGCCAAGGGGACTGGCAGGGGACGTCTTGAAGAGAGGCTGTGACCGGCTCTGGGAGGGCTGGCAGAGACCAGCTGGGGCTCCCGGTCCATCCCAGACACGAGGAGAAGTAGCCAGAACGAAAAGGTAACCCCACCGTGGGTGGGGGCTGGACAGGTCACCCTGGCTACTCAGGGAGGACTCACTGTGTGAGGCCCTGGTCCTGGCCACTGTCCTCACAGCAGGCATTGGGTCCCCACCCTCAGCCATGGCCTCATGGCACATGGTGCCTGCTCACCCTCAGCAGAGGACTCAGGGCCCCATGGGAGCCCTGGTGGTGACAGTGACACTGATGATGCTGTGAGACCCAGGCCTGACAGGTCAACCCTCGACCCCAGCAGCCAGGGAAGAAGAGGAGACGCAGTGGCCATGCCGTCCCTGTCGGTGAATGGGAACCCATGCCCCGGCTGGTGTGCTGGGGGCCAGGCAAGTCCTTGAGGAGCAGAGGGACCTCAGGGTGACCCTCAGCCATGCTGCCTCCACCTCGGCTGTGGGTGCTGTGCTGGGAGGGACTTCCCGGGCCCTTTCTCCGGGAACACTTGCGGGGAAGGCGAGGCCGGTGGCTGGGAGCTCGCCTGACCCCATGTGAGAGCCTCGCTTGCCTCGTCCTCCGCATTCCTGCGCCTGCCCGCGGGGTGTGATGCATGTGGGTTGCGCGTGCACATGTGAGGACCTCTTTGTGTGGGCAGGATCCTGTCCAGGCCCTCACCACRCCTGCTCCCTCAGTGGCATGTTCCTGCCCTACGTGGGCTGGGCTTTTGCTCCTCGAGCGTCTCTGAAGGGAGCTGGTCTGACCCTCCCCAGGCCAGGCGAACCCCTTCTCTACCCCTTCCCATCCCGTCCTGGGGAAGGCAGCTGTGCCAGCCGTGTGAGGCCTGGTCCTGGCCACTGTCCTCACAGCTCCGGTGCCTTTCCCACCACAGTCCCCAGCTGCACATGGATCTCTGGGCGGATCTTTCCCTGCACGTCACACTGTCCTGGGATGAAGGCTTCAGCTGGACAGAAGTCCCCGAGGGCACTCACTGCAGAACTGTCACCCCTGGTCCCAGACCCCTGGTCCCAGCCCCCTGGAGAGGACGAACCCAGGCTCTGGGTGTGCTTGGTTCTTTAGCCGCTGTGGCTCCCAGTGACCACATAGGGCTTAGCCAACAGACACACGAGTCCACATGTCCAAGTAAGCAGGACAGCAGGATGCTGGCAGGCCCCTGTGTAGAGTCCACAGTAATGAAGCCCCGCCCTGGGCTTTTCAGGCACCRAAGACACCGAGGCGGAATTACCCGTGGGATCCACCTGCCTGCGGCCCCTGGAGCCTCCTGGGAGGAAGGCAGGGGCCACTGGGTGGCAGGCAGATGAGGCAGAGGAGCAGCCCCAACCAAGGCACCTTCCCTGCCACCAGCAGGGCCGTGGGGCCACAGCACTCCTGGGCCAGGCTGGGATGTCTCGGAAGAGAGCACGGCCTGGGGCGGGAGGGGCCTCAGCCTCAGGGCAGGGGTCTACCTGGTGGTGTGTCTGTGCAGGAGGTGACAGGGTCTCTGGGTGGGCCTGGGAGACAGCTGGGCCCAGAGTGCAGGAGAGGCCTGCATCTGCAGGACCTTGAACTTCTGAGCAGAATCACAAAAAGCAAGGTCCAGGAGAGGCCGTGGCACAGTGGTGCAACGGTGAGCTGCAGCTTTGGGTTTAGGGCCCAGGCGGGCAGTGTAAGTGCAGGAGGCCAGGCTCCCCCAGGGCCTGAGGCTGGCCAGACACCCTTCACAGAGGCTGCTGCGCTGCCCCAAGGTCAACACCACWGACTCCTGGCTCTCCTGGACGCTGGATGTCCAGACCCTGACTTATCATATGGGCCACAGACAGGCGTGAGGAGGACCCCCGTCACCCTGGGCTGACGTCCGAGCTGGCTTCACACCTCCCACAGGGGGAGACCGTTGGAAGCTAGCCAGGAAGTGGGGGTTGGAAGATAGAAGAGGCAAGGGCCAAGACCGCCCTGCCCCGGGCTGGCCACAGGACAGTGGTGTGGGTGAGCCTCCCTCAGGCTGGCAGGCGCAGACAGAGGCACCTGTGGACAGTCTCTACACCACAAACTCCTGCAAGGACGCGCCCTCCCTGAGCAGGTCCAGGGAGAGACGGTTCATGGACCTCTTGCCACAGAGGGCAGCCCTGGCCTCCTGGGGCACCAGCAGCCCTGCCAGGGCGCAGCTGAAGGCACAGGTGTGAGAGGCAGGTGCAGGGCCAGGGGCTGGCTGGAGCTGATGCATGTGGTCCAGGCTGTGGCTGTGCAGGGCCTCCCTGCCGCTGGGCTCTGCCTCCCGGACCTGCAGGGAGAAGCCACCCAGGGCTCTTTACTCAGCAGCGGGTGCCAGCCCAGCTGCTGTCACCAGCCTGTGCTCCCTGCTGGGTGTGCTCTGCCTCTGGCAGGAGGCCTGGACCCCCGCAGGGCTCCCACTGCCTGGCCTGGCCCCCACCTGCCCCTGCCAGGGGWGCTCTGCTCCAGGCGCTCGAGGCCCCTGACCCCAGCAGCAGCAGCTCTGCTTCAACCCTACTGCACCTCCCCACCCCACCACCCTCCGCCGCCAGGTCCTCTGCCCCATCACACAGCCCCTGGCTGGCCATCAGGGGTGGTGGGCCCAACCGAGGGCTGTCCCACAGAGATCCCACACGTGGCAGAGGGGATGGAGGGAAGAATGGGGACAGTCACATACATGGCCACCTGTGGGCCACACATGGGTCACATGCAGGCCACACTGCCCAACCTGGACCTAGGGGGCCCTACCTTGTGTAGGACCTCGGTGCTCTGGCCTCTGGCCCTGGCCAGCGGGACCTGCACCACTGTGAAGGGCTCCGAGCAGGAGGCTGAGGAGGAGGAAGGGGCCTGAGCGGGGGCTGGCAGGGCCCGTCCTGCAGCCGCCCGCCCCAGTGCTGTGTCCTGGAGCCCCGACTCCTCGTGGCCAGCAGGTGAGGTGGTCCTGTGTGTCCCAGAGAGCCCAGGGCATCGGGTTCCGCCTGACACAGGACCCCTCTCCTGGCCCCACCTGGCTCCATCAGGAGAGGAAGGTGAGCAGCCCCAGGAGGCCCAGGACCTCCCCCAGAGCTGGGGCCCCAGCCTGCCCAGGGCACGTCCATGTTGAGGCTGGGGAGAAGCCAGGCCTGGGTCGTGGTGGCCACTTTCCCCAGTAGCCCTCCCTGTCCTGTGGCCTTGTCTGCTCCAATGTCAGACAGAACAGACTTCTCCAGGCCAGGGGGGTGCTGTGGTCACTTCTACTGGGTCTAGACCAAAACTTGGTCCAGACATCAGAGGTGAAGCCCAGCAGTGGACACTGGTTAGTGACAGATCTGCCGACCCTGGGCCCAGATGACTCTGGSTGGCCTTAGGTGACACCAGGTGGCCCTGGGTGGTACATTCGGGCATGTTCCCAGAGAGTCACTGTGACACGCAGCCTGGCCTCTCCCAGMAGTCTGGCACTTGGGGCAGGCCAGGCTCTTTGCTACCTCATTCTTCTCAGCCCACCTTTGCTGCCCCCGCTGTCCCTGAAGCTGATGGACGGCATCTTCCTGCAGAGGCCCTCGGCCGCTACGGGCTCATCCACAGAGACCTCCCCAGATTCTGCATGCTGAGAGTCGGCCTCTGTGCCCAGTGTGTGGGCACTGCCGTGGCTGTCAGCAGAGCTGAGCGAGAGGCGGTGGTGGTGGTGCAGGCCAGTGTCCCTCCCGTGCCTGCTGGCCAGCTCTGGGTCCAGTTCCAGCGGGTCGCTGATGTAGGCCTCCTGGTAGTGCTTCTTCTCTGCAGGATGTGGGGGACAGATGTAGAGCTGGGTTTGGAGGCAGGCGGAGCCCAGGCGTGGAGGAAGGCCTGGCCCCGGGGACACGCCCCATGAGGCTTTTCCCGGGGCTTTCCCGCTGTCTCAGGCTACAGGCTCGTCCTGAGCATCCCTGATGTCACGGCCACCCAGGACAGGGCTGGGTGGGAGAGAACAGACTGTCAGCCTGTTCTGAGGGCAGGTGTCCCCTAGGGCTGCCCCATTACACAGGGACAAACACATCTGTGCAAGCTCACCCCCCTATGCAACACACATGTGCTCACACACGTGCTCACACACACCCATACCCATGCTCTGTGACTGCAGTGTGCACACGTGACTGTCTCCCGGTGCTCTCTAAGGACACAGAACAGCCCCCAGGTGAAGACTGGGAGAGTGAGACCAGGCCTGGCACAGCACTCAGCCAGGTCTTCACGTGGCCTTGATTCTGCACCAGGGACGATGTGAGGAGTCGGAAAGGGGGCTTCCGGAGCCCGGGCAGAGCTGAGCAGCCCTCACCTTGCCTGCACCCCACCCCCATCTCTAGGCTCCTGCTCAGGTCACCACCACCCTTCACCCGGAGCGTCTGGGGGACAGGAGCTGAGAGGCCACTGGCCATTACGGGAGAACCCTTTTGCTGAGCCCAGAGTGGGTGGCCAGGTCCTGGGCCAGTTCTAGGGACAATCTGCTTCATCTCCACCCCTCAGAGGGTGACCCCCGCGGGGCGGTGCCCACCTTCAGCCTCATCCAGCAGCTGCAGCCGCTGCAGCAGGGGCTTCACACTGAGGTGGAACTGGTGGCTGGAGCGGAGCAGCCGGAGCAGGTGCCGGGAGCGCCAGGGAAAACCCGTGTAGAAAACCAGCTTCCGGGATGCGGGCAGCCCTGCGGGCTGGATCTCCAGCTTCTTTCCCTGAGTAGACAGAAGGGACAATAGATGTGGCTTTAGACGTTGAAAAACCCTTCCAGCCATAGGAAAGATCACAGGGCCCTCTAACTGGGCGATGGCCAAGGTCCCCTTTAAAGATTTGACTTCCGTGAGCAACGGATCTCTGTGGTCACTATGATCGGGAGGCTGTGTGACCTCAGCCATGAGAAGGCAGCCCTCTATGCAGACCCCTGCCTTGGCTGGGGGAGGGTGCAAGTGTCCAGGGTGGGACCTAAAGGGCTGCGTCTCCCTGTCCATCCTACCCAGTGGCCCTCACTCTCACAGTCACAGGGGGCCCAGGGTGAGAGCTCTGGGGCCGGATGAGAGGGGCAGAGGCGGCACAGGTGTGCCTCTAGGACCCACTCGGGAGCCAGCAGTCACATGGAATGAGAAGGGCAGCAGGACCCCCTCCACATCACGGCCGCTTGCCCAGTCCCCGCAGGGCCATGCCAGCACAGCTGCAAGGGTGAGCATGTCCAGAGCATCCGGGGCTGTCGGGAGCCAGGAGGAAGGGAGCCTGCACCTGCCCCGAAGGACGGAGACGCATCTGCCCCTGGGCTCTAGAGTGTTGAGGCCCTTGCAGTCACCCACCAGAAAGGCCAGCTTCCTGATGCAGGGCCAGGGCAAGTCATGCAGCAGCTGCGGAGCGTGGCTCACCTCCTGCAAGACAGAGGCACTGATCCAGGAGGGCAGCCAGGTGGGCCTCCAGGGAGGGGCGAGTCCCTCTCTCACCTGATAGATATGCATTCCCTTGAGGGTGAGTCCCAGGAGGAAGGTGGGGTGCTCACGCTTCTTATCCTGAAAGGAGCAAGAGGTGGAGGCCCTGGGCCTGGGGTGGCGAGAAGCCAGAGACCACCATGCCCCACCCAGCTCTGTCCTGGACCCCCCTCCCCCGGCCCTCTGTGTGCTGGAGCTGTCCCTGCCAATTGCCCAGGCACTGCCTCTGAACCCCTTAACCTGCCCTAAGAAACCTCCACCCAGTCCTCTCCGCGAAGACTGAGCGCTGTGTCACCTGTGTGCCTGGCTGGGTGGACACAGAGACCAGGCCCGAGGCCCCAGCACTAGACCCAAGTCAGAGCAACCATGGCTGAGCCAGCAGGCTCGGGTCCCCAGTCCCTCRGGGTTCGCTGGAGCCCTGCGGAAGCTCTGCACACCACCTCTGGACAGCCACCAGGGAACACATTCCCTCCCTCACCACTCCAGCCTGACCTGAGGACCTCTGTCCCCAGGACGGTTGGTCACACTGTCACCTGTGGGGACTTTGTCCAGCTCTGCTCTGGGATCCAGGTTACAGCGTCCCCTGCAGGGGACTCTGCCTGCCCTGTCCTAGGGTCCCAGCCTGCTGTCAGCATGGGGGCTCTGTCCCTCCCCTGTCCTGGCCCCGGAGCTCTGGGCTCAACCTTGTACAGCCTGAAGAAGTGGACRGGCACGTCCTCCAGCTGACAGGCGTCCCTGATGAACCTCAGCACAGCTGCCTGCGGGCTCAGCTCCTGCTGCTCACGGTGCACGGTGGGCACGTGCCGGAGGATGTAGTCCACACCCCTCTTGGCAATGACCTGAGGACGGGCCCAGGTCAGCTCCACCCCTCCTTCCCTCCCCTCCCCTGAGTTGGCCTCCTCCTTGGGAAGCCTCCCAGCCTCCTGCCATTGCAGAGGACCTCCCCAGCTGCAGCCGTCCAGCGGGAGGACCGGGCCTGCTGTCCAAGCTGGGGACACAGAGATGAGTGTGTGGAGTTCCCCAAAGCACCCAAGGAAAGCCCCTCTCTTTCTGGGACCCCCRGTGCCCACCACAGAGACCCAGAAACAAGCTGATTCCAGGTGGCAGTGTGCGCCCAACAAGCCACGACTCCCCGTACGGCTCCCAGCAGCCCAGGAGGAGGCTACGTCTGTGCACGGGGTGAAACCTGAGGGACGTGCATCTGAGGAGGGCCAGCCGTGTCCAGAGGGACGGGGTACCTGGAGGACTGGACCCAGCCCTGGGCACAGTGACCAGTGTGCAGAGCAGACAGTTTCTAGCTGCTTGGGGCAGCCAAGGAACAAGGAGACGCCCACAGGGAGGGAAACTAGGACTCTGCCCAGGGCAGGGGCCACTGTCCCTGGAAGGACAACCCAGTGCTCAGTGCCCCCATGAAGCCTGGCACAGTGCCCGGGGCTGGGAACACAAGGTGGACTCCTCTGCTCCCTGACCCACCTCCTCCAGGGCACCGAAGGGCTGAAGCACGGGCGTGAGGCCCCTAAAGGGCCCTGGGATACTGGAGAGAAGGGGCAGGTGGGCTGTTCTTCATAGCTGGGCAGGCCCAGCGGCTCAGAGGAGGAGAGCCAGTGGCTCCAGGTCGCACAGCTGGCTGAGTGTGCGCAGCTGGCCGAGTGTGCGCAGGAGCACCGGAGACTGCCCTGGGCACTGGTCCACGAGGCCACACGCTTGCCTTGGGCTCCCCCAGGTTCCCCCCTGCCCCTCCCAGCTCTGCAGCCTCCCCTCTGCATGGACCCCATAGAGTCCTGTTGGGGACAGTGTCAGTGACCCCCCGGGAGGGTGCCCAGGGGTTCTTACCCACTGTGGGAAATAGGCCTGCGGCTCAAAGTACCGCCCGACGTGCGGCGGCTTGCGGTGGCTGCCCAGGTCGGCCTGCAGCGCGAGGGCGGCCAGCAGGAAGTAGGTCTCCTCCCTATGCGCGCACTGGGACCGCAGCACCCGCTCCTTCAGGCTGCAGTAGTACAGGTGCCGGGCCACCTGGTCGCTGGAAGGCAGCAGAGCCGGGTGGGGTCCAGTGGCTGCACCCGGTGGGGTCTGCACAGCCGCCGGCCCCAGCCTGGTCCAGGGCACCCAGCCTCCCCTGTTCACAGCCTTGTCTGACCCAGGGCAGTGCCGGGCGCACCCTTCTCCGTGAGCAGAGAGCTGCTGCCCCCGCAGGGCCCAGCCAGGCCTGGCTGCGGCCTTCAGCAGCCCGGACCCGGAGGGAAGGGCCTGCCCGAGGGCTCAGGCGCAGCGGCACCGAACCTGGTTCCCTGAGCCCACTGCCCAGTGCCGTCAGCCGGCCACAGCTCCAGGACAAGGCGGGCTGCCCAGGGGGCCTTCCCTAGGTCTTCGAATACAGTTGGGCACTGCCCTCAGCCCACCTCCCAGCTCCCCAGAACCTGCACCCTCCCCCTCCCCCTCTGGGGTCAGCGACCACCTGCCTTCTCGGGTCCCCAGCCCTCTCTCCGTCTTGCTGAACATCAGGGCCCCTGGTGGTCCTGCCAGCTCTGAGGTGGCCATCTGAGGGAGGCCACCGCCCCGTCCCRGGAACCCCTCCTGCCACGTCTGCACAGATGCTTCAGGTAAAGGCCCAGTCGGGCCCCTCACGGCACCAACATGGCTGTTCTGAGGCTCACGCAGACGGCTTGGCTCCTGCGACCCCAGGAGCGGTTACCTCATGACCCTCCCGTTCTCCACGTAGTACTGCACTCGGAGGGAGGTGACGAAGGGCGCCCGGGGCCTCCAGCCCCCCTGTTGGGAGAGGGTGAGGAAGAGCGGCCTGGGGCATCTCCCTGCCCAGCCTTCGCTGGTTTTAGGTTTTAGGAGCTGCGACACTCAGGATTTCATCCTACTCTTAAGGGGAGAAGGGCCGAGTGGGGTGTGGCACCCGGGAGCCTGACCCAGGACGTGGGGACGGCAGTGTGCCTGCCAGACAAGCCCAGGTGAGGTGGGGGCCCCAGCAGGGAGGAGCTGGCCTTCCTGGGCACACTCCTGCCGCAGGCCCACACGGGCTCAGCCTGGCCTGCAGCCCACTTACTTGAGCTCCTCTCTTCCAGTCCTCTGAGAAGTACTTGCTGAGCCTGAGCTCCAAGTCCATGAACACGTGCTCATTGTCTAGAAAGGAAGGGCTTCGTCAGCAACGCCCCTTCACTCCCGAGGGCCTGGAGCCTGGGCTGCTCCCTGGGGCGGGCTGCGGGGACAGCCCTGTCAACCGCGCTGGTTACCTGCATGGCCTTCCCAGGGAGGGCTGACGCACTCACAGCCTTCCGGGAGGCATGAGGATGAGCGGCGGGGCCGCAGACCTTCCCTGCACCCCAGGCTCCCTGGCCCAGCCACAGAACAAGAGGGACCCTCTAACCTGCCCACGCCAACAGACGCCAACCACCAAGCGCACCGTGGGCCCAGTGGCTGGGAGGGTGCTGGGGACGCTTCTGCTGAGGGAAGCCTTGCTGTGACACTGGGGTAGTGCAGTGGGTTTCCTGTGGAAGCTGGAGGGGGCGGCTGGGGGCTCCCTCCAGTGTCACAGGCTCCGTGCCAAGGCCCGAGGTGCACAGCTCCAAGTGAACTGGGGAGGAAACGTCCCCCGGGAGCCACCGAGGAGCTGCTGGGCGACAGCAAGGGCCGTGTGCTGCAGGCCAGTGTCACCAGCTGTCCTGGGCAGTTTTAACCTGTTCTGCCCACTGAGCACATCCCAGTCCAGCTGCCACCTTCAGACACCCGGCTGGACATGGCACTGGGACCAGCAGTCCTGCCCAGGTAGAGAGAGGGCTGAGTGTGCCTGGAAATGCCCGGAGGCTCCCCGACTCTGCCTGGCCTGCCACTGCCTCCCCCAGGGCCCCACGGACCTGACAGACCCCGGGCTGGGGTCCAGCTGAGTTCCCAGGCTCACCAGGGCCAGGAGCTGTGTCCCCAATGTCAGAGCCCTGACCCCCGGGCCTCAGGGACTGCTCAGCTTAAGTGAGCCTCCAGGGTGTCCTGATCCACCAGGAACGGGACATGGACATGCAGCAGAGGGACAGCAATGCGAAGACACCGGGAAGGAGGCAGAGAGGACACAGGCGGGAGAGGACCCCAGGAGCCACCAGGGTCACGTGTATCTCTCCCAATCCTGTCCCTAACACATCAGACTCTGAACCCTGCGGCCCGGCTGGCGGCCCAGAGCCCATCTGCTCTGAGCGACCTCGGCCTTCCGCTGTCCAGTGACGCTCTTCGCGGTGCGGAGCCCGATGCATCTTAAATTCTTTTCTTGGCCTGGAAGGTCCCAGCAGAGGCCTCCTTGAGCCCCCACGGAGGCACAGCTTCTCCCCCACGGCCTGAGTCTGGCCAGCCCTGACCCTGGTCCCTGGCTCTCTGGGAAGATGGTCTCTGCCCTGGGGTCAGACAGCCCTGCCTCCCTGACCAGGTCATCTCCTGAGTCAGGCCTTATTTTCTTGCTTGAAGGAAGCAAACTGTCCTTTGTACGAGATGTCCTTTGGCAGGTGACATCCAGAGAGTGGAGGGTCAGTCACTGATGAAAGGACTCAGCCCCCAGCTGTGGAGGGCGTGGTGCCGACGTGACTGCTGGTCACCAAGGGAGAGCCGTCTGGAGGGGCAGCACTGGGGACAGGGCAGGGACTCAGCAGAGGGCCCGCGGTGGTGGGGGTGGGCAGGGAGGGCTTCAGGGCCATGGCACTGCTGGGTGACACAGAGGGCACTGCACAGTGTCTGACTCCAGGGGTGAGCCTCATGTCACCATGGACTCTGGGTGACATGGATGTGTCCCTGTAGGCTCCTGCTGGGATGTGGACACTGTGGGTGGACATACAGGAGAAATACTTTTCCTTCTGCTCAGTTTTGCTGTCACCTCAACCTGCTCCAAAAAATGACGTTCAAGTCCTGAAGCCCCTCCGAATGTGACTCCAGCCTCCTGAGGCAGGAGAGCCCGCAGCAAGCCTGCAGCTCACTCGGCCCGGAGGGAGGGCTCCTCTGGCCCCTGGTGACTGGACAGACACCGCACCGAGGTCTTACAGATGACCCTAGAGCAAGGGCCTGGTGACTTCCTGTTCACTCCCCACCATTGGGCAGCAGGGAGGGCTGGAGAAGCCCCAGGACCCTCTGGGAGCTCCTGCTCCTGTGGCCAAGGGTCCCATGGAGCCCTGTCGAGGGGTATTGCACACGCACCCCCTGAAGCCCAGTCCTACTGGTGATCCCGCACACTGGGACACTTAGGAAGTGCAGCCAAGAGCGAGGTATGTCCCAGTGACTGGGAACGGCAGTGAGGACCTGCCCACCTCGGAGGCCTCCCCACCTCTCTGCCCAGGGAGAGTTGTCCTCCCAGGCCACAGATGCACCAGGGCGCCCTGGGGCCCAACCGATGCCTCTGAAGGAGTGAAAGACCTAGGCCTCCGGTGCGGAGCCCTTGCCTTCTATCTAGTGCAGACGGCAGGACACCCAAAGCCACCAGGGCGGMCTGAGGAGCTGACCCATGCGTTCCTGCTGGCCAGGGAGGTGGGGCCTGCCCTGTCTCTGTCTGTGTCCCACCTTCCCTACTGCCAAGCCCCGGCTGCCGGTGGAGGTCCCGTCCCTTGCTGTGTTACCAAAAGTGTGCCCAAGTCACCATGCCCGAGGCACTGAAGCCAGGAATCCAAGGTCCTGTTCAGAAAGTCCAGGCTCCAAAGTAAGGGCTCTGGCCATGAAGGGTGCCAGTGGCCCTGGGCTGAGCTCCAAGATGGACAAGCTCAGTGGGCCGGAGCCTCGGCCTCGGCAGGTCCCATGTGCAGGAGGGAGACCTGTCTTCACCTGGGAGCAGGGAACCCCAATGTCTTCCTTAACCTGCCCTGACCACTTGCTCCTGGAGCCGGCAAGATTGGTGGCAGGCCATCTCAGATGGCCAACAGGAGAGGAGATGGAAGACAGGTCTGGTGGAGGTGGCTGCCTTCCAGCTGGTTACCTGCCCTGCGACACTCCCAACAATCCCTCTGTGTGCACCTGGATCCTCGCAGTGGGCACTGTACCTGCCCACAGGAGCCTCGGCAGTTCTGCTGCAAGGCCTCGACCTGGGCTGACCTGGCTGAGGGCCTCCCGTGACTCATCCACCTCACAGGTGTGTGCTCCATGGTACACACACATGCTGAACGCCTGTGAGCTGGTCCCTAAGGTGTGGGCAGCTCGCGGTATGGACCTTGAGCCTCAGTCAGAAGGACAAAGGTCCTGAGCTGCTGGCTGTGTTCACACTGCGGGCTCTGGACCCCTGCAGGGGCGGCCCCCGGGGCCTGGCACGGTATCACCAGGGCTTTGATTCACTCTTCGCTTTAAGGCCTGGGGAGTCCCTAACCAGCAGGAAGCCGAGCACCTCTGGGCCACCAGGGAGAAGCACCCCGTCCTACAGCATGGGGGGTGTTCCCCTGCCCACTGTGACTGGCCCACCTCCTTCCTGGGGACCCGCCCGGCACTCCCAGGCTCCACCCTCAGGTCCTGGAAATCAGGCTGCGTCTGCACAGGCACCTGCCTTGGCCCCGTAACTGTCACACTCCCCACATGACAGAGCCCAGCAGGCTGAGCAGGCAGCTGTGCGTGTCATCCGCATGTGCTGGTGCACAGAAATGTACACATCACACACGCATGTGAGCACCACACACCTTAGACCACAGGCTTACACATTACACATGCACACACCTCAGGCCACGCACGACCACACCACAGGAGCACACACCACAGGCCACGCATGGACACACCACACGTACACACGCCACAGGCATCTCACAGACACACCTCACACCGCACACTCTCAGAACACTGCACACTACCGACCACCCACTTTGCAGCACACGTGCACACACTACACACACTGACATACCCCAACACCCTGTCTGTGGTAGTCCGCCCAGAGCCTGACCCCGGAAGCCCAGCAACAACGGGGTGGGGGGGGCAGGAGGCCTGAAGGTGGGGGCTGGAGCACTGCTCACCTCTGACCACGCTGAGGCCGAAGAAGCGGGCCTCCCGGAGGCCCAGCACGCCGCACACCTGCTGGAACAGCTCCCGCGCCGTGGCCCTCACCTGCAACAGGGGCGGTGCTCAGGGCGTCCAGGACTGCCCTGGACAGGCTCAGGGGACCCCGCTTCAGGACGTGAGCAGTGGCTTGTGCTCAGGGCCAGGGTCACTCACAACCCCTCAGAGCTGCCTGGGAGAGGGAGATGGAGGGGTGCCCCTGGATTGGACAGAGCACCCTCCACCCTCCCCATAATGTGCACCACCTGGGGGTCCGCCTGCTAGATCCTCCTTACCCCACGCAAACATGGCCCTGACCACCCCCGAAATGGGCATCTGTGCGTGGGGAAGACACCTGATTTTCAAGGGAGGGGAACGAGGAGGGGCTGACAACACTCAGGAACACACTGCCTGCCCAGCGCTCTGCAGATCTAACTAGCAGCCCCCGTGCACAGTCTGAGCCGGGCCCCGGGCCCCTGAGGACATGCTTCACTGTGCCGTCTGTGCCTCGGCCAGCCTTAGCCATCGGGCACAGGACTCCACAGCTGGCCCTGGGGGATCCTACACTGCACCCCCAGATACCACTGGGCAGGCCTCACGCCCAGGGCCAGTGTCCATGCTGCTGCCCAGGAGGGTGCTGTCCTCTGCGCGCAGGTGAGGCCTCTCGACGGCACGTCCGGTGGTCTGCTTCACGTGGTCCCAGCGTGGCTCCCTGACGGACATTTCACAGCCATCTCCTCAAACCCCTTGTCCCGTGCCAACCCCTTATGCCTATTTATTGACTCCAAGCCTATAGACGCTCCCGGGCTGGGCCTGGGTGACGTCCCCGCTCCAATCCGTCCTGGAGATTCCTGCGTGGAATCTCCCCAGACACCACCGTGTATGCGGGCAGACCACACCGTGGCACCTTCGGCCACTGCTTCTGTTCAATTTCCTGACAGACTCAGCTCCAGGCTGGCAGTGCTGTCCTCACCCCTGTGCCTCTCTGCTGGGGGACAGCCACTCATCTCCTGCTGGTGACTCAGAGACACCRTGTGTGCCAGCTGGCTCGGGTAGAGGTGTGTGACGGTGGCCCCGGGCCGCTGTGAGGCCCCTGACCTGGCCTCCACTAGAAACCCAGAGCCCCGTGACCTGGCCGTCTGCTACCTGTGCCTCTGTGTCACCGGAGCTGCACGGCCTGTTCCTGCTTTTCGATGACAAGTTACTGAGAGGTTGGCTCATGAGCATCAGTTAACGTGGTGAGGGCCGCGGGGACTGGGACATGCACTGGGAAGGTCTTCTGGCCCACGCTCTTCTAATGACCGGACTGGAGCCACACACAGGGGTACATGGACTCCCATGATGGTTCCCACGGTCCACAGTGCCTGGCTTGCACCTGAGGGCTGGCCAGCTGTGTCCTTGCCAAGCAGAGGGCCCGTCTGGGGAGGCAGGGGCAGGAGATGCCTCTCCGGGGCCAGAGGGTGGGACAGTGGGGAGGCAGGGGCAGGAGACGCCTCTCGGGGCTCCATGAGTCCCTGAGTGTGACCCCACCCAGGGCTTCACACTGTGTTCTGGGTGCAGCCTCCGGGAGGGAAACAGGTAGAAGACGCCCTGGCCCCACAGGAGGAGGCCCAGCATRTCCACTGCATGCCTCAGAGGGCCCCAGGACCCTGACCCTGCTCAGGTGGGAACCCAGTGCTTGGGGCACTGCAACAGACTTAAGTGCCAGCACTTCCTACAGAAACGCAGCCCCAGGCAGACACCAGGTTCCCAGGGGACCTGAACCGTGATGTCACAGCCCGTCCCCGCCTCAGAGAGCACCAAGCTGTCCACAAGGAGACTCAACCAACTCCCCCGGAGGGGCCTGTCACTCTGCCAGACGCCAGCATTTCAATCCCCATCTTCACCATCCACACTTACAAGGTGGAGGTGCTGCTTCCTGGTCCAGCTTGAAGCTGGGAACTGACGGCCTCTTCCCGTCCGCTCAGACGGCCTGAGGGAAGAGCCTCCCGGCGGCTGCCATGGCTCGCCCAGAGGGGCCCCAGAAGGAAGCCAGCCGCAGGGACCCTGGGCCTGGACCAGTGAGTGCCCGGTCACTTCCCTTCCTCCCCAGGGCAGGGAGTGGGGAAGACCGGGTCTGCAGCAAACCGCATGACCCTGCTGTCCCTGAGGTCACAGTGACCTGAGGACCATGGCCTGGAGACATTGCCCCGTGATGGACGGCAGGGAGGAGCTGCAGGCGTGGAGACTGCGTCCACACAGGATGCCAAAGTCCTCACAGAAGGGTCACACGCTGGCGGGAGGTCATCTGTGCCAAGGAGACGGCTGCTCCTGCGACATCTGGCAGCCTTCCGCTCCTCTGTGTGGTTTTACAACCTGAAGTTTGATCCAAAAGCCGTCTGTGGAGGCTGTGGCYGGGGTCCTGGGCCACGCCAGCTCCGTCCTGCGGGCCAGGCCTCCTCTGGGGCCGGCAAGCGCTGCTCCTAGCTCTTAGTTCTCTCACCAGACRCTCTTGAGGGTAATCTGGTGACTCTGGTGACTTTGGGTCCAGCCCTCAGCGCTGTCCTCAGATGGAAGGGGAGGGAGGGGCTTTCTATCAGCCAGTGAGGGCGTCCCCACTTCTGAGGGTGACAATGTGATCCGTCACCCCCAGGGGGATGGTCCGGCCATGAGGGTCCTCACCAAGTGGAGGGGGAGGCCGAAGGGTGGGGCAGAGGTTGCAGAGTGGGGAGAGAGGCAGGGGTCCGGGGGAAGAGGCCGGGTCGTGACAGTCACAGCCCGATGGCGAAGCAGGGATTTCAGAGGGGCCCTGGAGTGAAAACTCGGAGAAGCCAACATTTCAYTAAAGCCCAGTGTGGAGGACAGGGCAGGACCGGAGGCGGCAGGGCGGAGGGGCACGCAGAGCCACCMAGGGCCTCCAGAGGGAGGCCGCTGTCCCGGGTGAACTGTGCCGCCAGTTTCCTGCTCCCGAGGCGCCGTTTCTTCACCGGCCTTTCCAGTCCAGCTTCTCCCACAGGAGGGACACCCAGGGGTCAGAGTCAACCCAGGGAGGCATGGACACTGTGGGAGGGCCAGGAGCCCAGGACTCTGGACGCTAAAGGGGACCGGGCAGCTCTCAGCCCCACATGGTCCACTGGCCCGCATCATAGTGAAGTGGTCATCGGATGTCTCCCCTAGTCCAGGTGCCCCCAGTGCACAGCTCTTCTGTCCCCATATCACTCTCTGGACATGGGGTGCCCACTGTCCCCCAGTCACCCTCTGGACACACAACCCAACTTTCTCCTGGCCACCCCCTGGGCACATGCCTGCTCACCCCGACTGCCAGCCGCAGCTGCTTCTGGGCGGGCAGCAGCACGAGGACATCCCTGTGCTCTGAGGTCATCTTGCTGTCCCCAGGGCTGGCTCCACCGGGCTGCGTCCCAGCCTCTCTCAGGACCAGCCTCTGCYGGCCAAGCTCCTGTAGGGGAGAGGAGTCGGGTTGTCCAGGGGGAGTGAGCAGCTGGACCCCCGCCTCCCCTGGGTGGCATCTCCGCACCACCGTCTCTGGTCTCCCCTGGTCATCAGCTCAGGTGGACACTGGCCCTCCCCTCCCAGCTGTGCCTCCTGTGCTGGTGTCTCTGGCACTTGCCACGAAGGGCCAGGAGCTTGGTGGCCGTGCAGGACAAGGGTCAGGCTGTGAGCTGGGCGTGTGGAGGATGACTGGATGCACGGTCCTGTGGCCACCTCACTGCACCTGGGCAGGGGCAGCTCCACTCCAGGCCACAGACAGGGACCACTGTGGGGCCCCTATAGGAAGGGCCAGGACCCCGGCACCACAAGATGTCCCCTGCAGCTCTCAGAGGACAGAGGAGCCACACAGAGCCCTGGACACAGACTCCAGAACCAGGGTGGCCCCTGGTCACTGGAGCAGCAGGAGGGCCAGGAGGACAAGAGGCGACGGGAGAGGCACGTGCCCCAGTCCCAGGTCAACACCTCCTGCTGGCACTGGCCACGGAGTCGGGAACGTGCTGAAGTCACAGCTCCCTGAGGGACCTTGCCATGGGGCCTTTCTGTTCCACTAGCTGGGAGCTGAGGACGCCTCTGGCCAGAGCCAGCTCATCGGCCCCCTGCCGTAGGCCGGGACAGCTAGAAGTGGGCCGTGGTGGGCACATGAGGGTGTGGGCTCTCAGGAGCCAGCAGTGGGATCTCTGCCATCAGTCTGAGGCCACCGTGGACTCTCCAGGCACTAACACGGGCCCCAGGAGGCCACTGGCCGGGGCAGCCAACACTGGGGGCATTTCGGGTCCAGGAGGTTTTGGACCCAGGGGCCTGGCTTGTGGACCTCTGTCCTCAGCCAGGGTCGGGGAGCCTCTTTCTGTCCCTGAGCCTCAGGACCTCCTTGGAGAAGTCCCTCTTACTGACCCCGAGAGGCTCTGGTGGATGAACCCAGGAGGGTCCTAAGGGGCAGCTGGCTGGTCAGGAGGCCCACACTCCAGCACCCTCAGGGCTATCCAGGGCTTTGGAAGATTAGAAGGGACAGGGGGCTGCACCTCAGCTCTGCCCACCGCCCCCTGCTCCACTCCAGCTGAGCCCTCCGCCCGGGCCTGCTTTCTCTGCAGCGTAATGCAAGGTCCTCGTCACAGGAGAGCACGCGTCCCTTCAGCCAAGGCAAACTGCTCCGGAAGATGGACACTGGGTTCTGATCATCACTTCAGCTGGTCAGGAGGTGGATGGACGCCTGCCCAGCATTACAGAGGACAGCAGCTACTGTCTTCCTGCAGTGTCTGGGCACAGGAGGGCCCTGGGCCCCCAAGGCTGTGGGAACACAGGAGGTAGTGATCGGGGAGAGAGCCAGGGCAGCTGGGCGGGGGTGGTCGACGGCCACAGAGCCCTGTGGCGGGTGTGGGTGCCCATGTGTCCTAGGTGGTGTCTTCCCCGAGCCAAAAGGAAGAGAAACGTGTGCGTCACTGATAAACAATCCATGGACCCAGCACAGTGGCATGTCTCAGGCCCAGAACCCAGAGCTGCACGGGCTACCCAGAATGCCCTGCCGCCCAGCAACACCTCTGAGGGACAGTCAGGGGACACTTCATCAAGAGGACAACAGCTTTCTGTCCTTTGAGAAAACAGAAACATGGCCAGATACCCCAAGTCCACAGCACTTGTAGGTACAGTTAGTTCCCTTGCTTTCTGCAGGAACGGGTTCCACACACTGCCCAGAGCCCCAAGTTGGTGACGTTCAAGCTCCTTGCTTAAAATGGCACTCAATCTGCGAATGACTAATCACTTTGAGGTGACTTACAATGCCCGATGCAAAGTGACTGTGCCCACAGCTGGGACACCGCAGGGCTAGGGAGTGAGGCCAGGAAGCCGACGCCTCCCGGCCAACGCAGTGCTTCCCAAATAYCCTTGATCCAAACCTGGCTGGTGCACAGATGTGGGGCCACAGGAGCCCGTGCTGACGGGGTGCACTGTCCCCTGGGCTCTTGGTCAGTTACTGGCCACGGCTGGGATTTCAGGTGTGAGGGGCTCCTCATGGAGATGCCAAGGCAGATGCCAGGCCTCTTTCCAGAYGGGCACTCAGTCCTCCTCCACCCAGTTCTCCCCTCTTCTGGACAGTGGTGTCATCTTGTAGATGGGCTTGCTGAGAATGTTCTAGAACTCAAGCTTCTCAGTTCTTTATGCCCATGAGGGATAGGCTTTGAAAAAGCAAYGCGGGAGTACCTTTCAGAAAGACAAAGGAAGGGGTTGCTCTGAACTCCCGTGGTGGACTGAGGCTGCCGTGCCCAGAGGATGCAGCCAACAGGACAGGCCACATGTGGGGACTGCACTAACCAGGTGTCCAGAGATGGCCGTGTCCACGGTGACAGGGCAGCTCTGGCTGCCTGGCTGGAGGGACTGCCCATGGGCAAGTGTTGTTTGGGGGTGACAGGAACATTCTATGATGACGTGGTGGCAACGGTTACATGACCCTTAAACTTGCTGAAACGTATTGAACTGCTCACTGACGAGGAATGCATTCTACACAACRTAAATCATGTCTCCATAAAGCCATCGGAATGCAGGACAAGTCCTACCACAGGGAGGACACAGGCGGTGAACGTCCTCGGCCCCAGCCAGCCGCGGCAGGGGGCTCAGTGCCCGTGTGCATGTGCTGTGTGGGTGCCCTGAGTGCACACACACATGAGGGCCGCCTGTGCAGGGGTGTGTGCACACGCAGGTCCTCTCAGCACCACTGGCGGCTCTAGGGACCCTTCCCGGCTGTCACAGCCGCAGGGAGGACTTCAGGGAGGGGTCGCTCTAGGCCACAGCACCCCCCTCAGGGTGGGGGTCTAGGTTCACGCAGCACCTCCCTGCCACCTGCACACCTGTCACTTCCCCAACTGTCCTGTGCCCCTCTGCCCTCCCCAGCTGCCATCTGACCACCACCTCCACAGGGGGCCTGCTGAGAAGAGCCCGCTGCCCGTGGTTTCCAAGCACATGAGGCTTCCCACACACCTCAGGCTGAAGCCTCCCCAGCAGGGACAGGAGTCAGGGCCAGACGGGACACRTGTGGCACCCCTTGGCAGCAGGGCGACACAGAGAAGCTGAGGGCCCCTCAGGGCCAGGCTCCCACGCTTCCAAGGCCTCTGTGCCCAGGAGCCCCTCAAGATTCTCGTCAATACGCCAGTCGTGAGCCGACTCGTGCCACCTCGCAGGTCCCGAGGCTCCATGTGGGCATCCGCGGGTGGGCTCCGACTCCCACGCGCCTCCCTTGGACCCTCCGGGCTGGGCAGGACCTTCCAGAAGGGTGCCGGAGGCCCAGGCTGGGGAGTCCTCAATCGTGAGTCCTGAGTCGCGGCTCACGTTAGGGGCTGGGGACGAGGTTGCCCACAGGAAAGAGCCGCCCAGGGACTGTGCCGGCCCCATGGGCAGGGCCTGGTGTTTGTCTCCTGCCCACTCAGACCTGATCAGGCCCTTCGGCCCCAGTGACCACCCAAGGTCCCACGAGCAGGACAGGCCTCCCACAGCCCTGGCTGTCCTGCCCCTGGAGCTGCCTCTGCCTTTCCAACTGACCACGGTGGCAGGGCTGGGAGAGGTTCCACAGGGGTCAGCCCTGCTGTGGACAGAGGTCAGCAGGTGTGACATTCACATCCCTGTTCACCTGGCTGGCCACCCTCCTTCCCTGCAGGTGGGAGTGCCGTGGGCAGGACCTGCCCCCACAGGACAGGGACTGCAGAGCCGCTGAGGGGCCAGCTCTTCTCCTGGACCTACAGAAGACCAGGGTCTGCCTCCAGGCACCATGCCAAGTGACAGAGAGCCCAGGTCACCTGCCCTCGGGTGACACTTAAGTGTCCAGGCATCTGGACCCTCACTAGGGGTGGAATGGGTGCCCTGGTCAGAGGGCAGCATCTTCTAGGGGGTGGAGGAAGGCCGCAGCCCTCTGCTACAGGCACCAGGCTGCCAGGTCTGAGAGGCGGGCGGCTGAGAGGCTGAGCACCTCTGAGCGTCCGAGAGGCCAAGGGGGGAGGACGAGAACAGCCCCGCTTTCTGCCACGTCCTCGCTTACAGAGACAGGGCACGGGGACTCTGGGACTGGCATTCGAGACCTGAGGACAGGGTGTGGGGTCCCTGGGGACCGGGGTGGACCCTGGCCTGGACTGGCCCTCCTGACCCTCTCCCCTGCGGGTCATGCGCTGGGCTGTGTCATCTACGCAGGGTGGAGCAGGACCTGTCCCAGTCCCACCCCTCCCGTCTGGGCCTCGGGATCCTGTGCCCAGGCCCCTCCTCCCCCACAGGCTTTYGGGGGGCACCCGGAGGGCAGGCTTTGGCCTCCTGGAAGGAAGCTGAGGGGTGGGCGGGGGGAGCAGTGGAGAGCAGGGCAGCTGGCTCCAGGGAGGGTCACCCCTGCCCTCCCAAGTCCTTTATTGCTGGTCTCAGCTCAGGGACTTTCCCTGTCAGCCCAGAGGGCAGATTCTTGGGATTCTCTGCCTGCTGGGTCCTGGCACCCAGGTGTGAACCAGGCTGCAGCAGCTGTCAACTGGGCATGTTAAAGTGTCCCCACTCTCCACCCAGAAAGAAGATACACGGTGTGGACAGGCGGCCCACGATGGACTCTGAGAGACCAGAGGGCCAGAGCACACGAGGCTTGCAGACAGACAGCTGGACAGACAGGGCCCTCTGGGCGCCGGGCTGCCCACACCTGCACACACACACCTGTCATGCCGGCCTTCAACRCCTCGTACAAGTACAAGTCTCACGCTTTCACACGCACAGGTTACCTGAACAGACACCCGTCCACCCACCGTTCGCTGGTGTCCATCCTGGGAAGCTGCCGGCCACTCCCGTCCTCCCATTCACAGGACCCGGGGCTGTGGCTCAGGAGACACATTTTGGAAAGTAAGATCTATTTGGCCAAAGGCTGCCTGATGCCCAGGGAATAGGGTGGAGGGGCGTCCAGCCTGTGAGCTGGTGCCGGGCTCAGTGGGGGGCCTGTGGCCAGCACACCACTGTGGTCACTGTGGTCACTGTGGTCATGCTCAGCAGGGGTGGAGGGGCCCTGAGCCACTGCACCTGAGTCCCTCAGCTGTGTGCAGATCCCACACTGCCTGTGCGTCCTGTGCCACAGGCCTTGGGACACGGTCATGGGAAAGCCCATTGTCGTTTCCCGAGAGACCCTGTTTGTGTGGCACAGGGCAGCTCCTGTAGCCCTCGCACCTGGAGGGGCCAGCCTCAGGAATGTGGCCAAAAGGAGCCCCAGGGCCTTTCCTGAAAGGGGGGATGGGGTGGGGCATTGCCATCAGCACTGTTTAGGGCCATGCACGGGGACAATAAAAGGTCGACTGGCTCTTGATGCCTTTCACTGTCGTCTCTGCAAAGTGGGCCCCTGATGGCGCCAGGGTGACCCTCCTGAAACCCGGGGTGTGTTTGCAGGGAGGGGAGGAAGGCAGGCCGCTCCCCACTCAGGTTCATGAGGAAGTAGGCTCTGCCCCCTGCTGAACCCAAAGCTCCTGGCCCCGACGCCAGAGCCTGTGAGCACGACACCTGCTCCCACAGGGGCTGCAGTCACACCATCCGCAGCAGCCTGCATGCCTCCATTCATCCAAGAGATATGTCCTGGGCTGCTGATGAGCTCTTAGCACTGCCCTGGCCCCTGGGAGTCCACCACAGGCCTGCACGGGGGACCCTGATGGTGCCACTTTCCAAGCACATCAGCACCTCCCAGCCATGCTCCCACCTGCATGTCCACCAGGGCCCACCCTGGCCGTCTCCAGCCCGCACTGTGGCTTCAGGGTCTCCTCTCCCCCGTCCTCAGCATGCAGTCCGGGGCGACAGCTGCACCAGCCCCCAGGCCTCTGCCTGCTCCACGCAGCAGTAGTGTCAAGGCCAAAGCACCACTTGGTCCAGAACTTCTGACAAGGTTCCTAGATCTCTGTGTAAGCAAATCTTGGGGCCAAGAGGCCGAAGAGTCTCTGGGAACAGTTCAGAGACTGCTCACCAAGCCTGCATTGGGAGCAGAGTGAGTGTGCTCTGGACCTCACAACTGGATTCTCTGAAAAGCCACCCTGTCCGGTCCTTGCTAAGTCTACCTTGTGYACGTCCTGCTTCACTTACAGAGGAAGAAGAGTTCCACAGCAGGAGGAAATCTGCACTTGGTGGAGGGAGATGAGTCTAGGGTCCCTGTTCCACGTGCTGTGCGTGGTTTTAGAGTGGCAGTCAGAGCTGGCTGTTGGGTGGGGGCTGCTCTCAGGAGATGCCTTCGCTGCACAGATGCCCAGTGTCCCTGCCAGCCACTCACTCGCTGATCATCATGGGTCAGTTGGCTGTTAAAACCCTCCCTTGCTCAGCGAAAACTGACCTATTTAGTCCCCCTTCCCCTCTTATAATAAGGTTGTGTTTTATTTTTGTTTTTGGTAAATAGGGTTTACTTCTGCAGAGCAGTCTGAGGTCCCCACCCAGATCCCCCACCGAGGGCCCCCCTGCTGCACTGATGGCCCCACAGCCGCGTCATCTACCCAGAGCTGGGGCCCACGTCAGGGCTTGCTCCTGGTGCTGTCACCCTGGGGGCTGGACAAATCTTGGCCCTGTGTCGATCACATTAGGGTCACACAGTGATCCCGCTGCTGAGCTTCCTGGCCCGTTTCAGCTCTGCAGAGCATTCCAAGCCCTGTGTTTGCAGGCTGCTGTGTTTCCATGTGTTCCCACGGCACAGTCCCACGAGAAAAGGGTTCACATTACTTCCATTTACAGCTGAAAGAAACGGATGCCCAAAAGCAATGTTTAAAATGCCCCCAAAGCAGAATCAAGCCATGAGACGAGAACCAAAATACCAGCAGGGGCTTCTCTGGCCCCTCCAAAGGCCACGGCCCTGTCTGTGACATGCAGCCCCAGCGCCAGCCCAATTTTCAGGGCCTCAACAAGTTCTGACCAGAGGATGCCTGGCGGCTGGAGGGCCCAGGGAGCAGAGACTCGGAATCCACCCAGCACACAAGGTGGCTCCTGCAACTTCAGAGAGGGCCACCAGGAGACAGGACTAACGGCACGGAACGTGACTTTTTCTACACCTAAGATCACGAATTTACAAGTCAGGGATCAAAATCTTAGACAGGGGGAACCGAACAGTCAGAAGAACGCAGCACTCAGCCACCCAGGGACCGAGTACACCTCACCAGCCGAGTGCTGGGCCCAGCACGGCCTGCGCAGGTCCCTTCCTGCTGGCTGATACCCTGGAGGGACATCGTCCACCGACAGCACAGCAGATGGGCTCCGTCCTAGGCCGTCCATCTGCTCACTGCTCAGGGGTCAGTGGACACCAGCCTAACTGGTTTCTGGAAGGCTGGACACCCACAGCTTGGCCACAGCACAGGGGCAGCTGTGGCCCTGAAGGTCAGGTGGACCCAGGCTGGAGCTGCTCTGCCTGCTTCCTGTGTGATCTTGGCAGCGCATCACCACCCAGGGGAAGGCCACCAACCAGCCATGTGGCCCTGAGGGCTACAGACCCTGGGCAGGGATCTGTCCTTCCCTCGGAGAGCAGACTCCCAGAGGAGTTCTTGGGTACAGCCCGGGTCCTTTCCACGTGGCCTTAGAAATCCTGCCCCACAACCTGGGAAGCCCAGGCCTGGCAGCTTCAATTACGTAACTCAGTGCTCGGGACCTCGGACCCCCGCCTCCTGCAGCCAGCCCTTCCCCCTCCCAGCTCCACAGGGGCCATTCCTCCAAATGTCAACAGCAAACCCTCAGACCAACGAAAACGTCCACCAGCACAGTCAGCTTGGCTCAAAAGCCTCACCTACCACCGCGGTGGAATGCAGAGGGTGGGGCCTGGGGGGCAGTGTCTTCCCGTCATCTGGTCCYCTCTCGTGGGGCACAGACCTGGTTTCTGGGAGGACCACCACATGCTGGCAGCATGAGAACCACCTCAGGCACTACCAAGTGGCCGAGCAGGTGTGCGCTGCACTCGCGGTGGTCCAGCCCACTGCAGACCCCAGGGAGTCCCTGTTGATGAGGTCTGAGCACCTCCCCACCTCTGGGGGCCAAGGCCATCGCCACCTGGTGCTCCTGCAGGCTCCCCAGTATCCCACCAGAGGTGTATAAGAGCCACCTGCAGATACCTGGGCCACCTACTGCCTCCGTCCCATGGAAGGAGAAGCCTGGCACACTGAGACCATGACGCTTTTCTGATGAAGACCCCACTGGGACAACAGGTGACACCTGGTCAAGTTCAGGCGGCTGGGTGTGGCCCAGAGCCATCATTCAGAGTTGAGTCCTTTAAAAACGGCCTGTTAAATCCCCGTCAGTCCAAGTGCCAGGCTGAGTCTCCATGAGGGCACTTCCGATGAGACCCAGGAAGGACCTGGGGGTGGTGTTATTGTTTGGTAAGCCATGATCCTTTCTAGAACACTGAGACTTCTGAACAAAGGGACCTCTGTAATAGGAAAGAAAATAACTCTACCCCAAGACAAAGGAAATATCTGTGAAACGCGGGACAAAATCTGCACTGTAAGGTGAACCCCCCACCCCTGGGTTCCATAGTGCTGTTTGCCATGGTGTGTCCACCCCTGGTGCCCAGGTGGGTACTGGATAGGCAGCGGAGGAAGGCAGCCCAGGAGTGCTAGAGCTCTGGTGCCGCCTGCCTCCGGGGAAGGCTGTTGGGCCTGCTGCTCACAGGAGGTGAGCTGAGCCCTCTGCAAGGGCAGAGCTTCCCTTAGCAAAGGCTGGCTGGTGGCAGGAGCCACTTTGTGCCACTGAGTTTGGGACTCCTCCCTTCTAAGGCAGCCCTCCCTGGTCCATGTTTGGAGGACTGGCAGAGAGCCTACCTGAATGGGGACCAAGAGAGACCAGGAGGCTCAGGCCAGCGCTGGCTTAACTGGGCCTGGGCAGGGTGACAGCTGAACAAGCCCTGCCCCTGTCCTGGCTGCCACCTGCTGAAAAACACTCTAGAGCCCGAGACTACTGTCCCCCTTGGTGTTTGCAGGACTAGGGTTCCCTGCCTGGGAGTTCATGCCTCCTGCTCACTGAAGGGGCTTGGCAGGCCAGGGAAGAATCCTGGAGAATCAGCCCCTGTTGACAATGTTGCTGTTTCTGGAAAGTTCTCCATAGGGGCTTGGACCCTCTCTTCATCTGTAGGGTATGTGTCCAGACCTGGACCTCACAAAACCCTACTGGAGCATCCCAAGCCTGCCCAGCCTCAAGAGGCCTACTCGATGTGCCGGTGGCCATGCAGGGCTGGGGACCTCCTGTGGCCTCATGTCCAGGAATAAAGCTGCCAGGATACTGGGCACCAGGAATCCCACATGGGTCAGTTAGGAAGAGACCAAGTCTAGTGCAAAGCAGCCTGTGGGGTCCTGTGGGTCACTGGACCTGCTTCAAGGTGAGCCTGGAGGCTCCAGCGGTGCCCAGCTCCTCCACAGCTTCCTGTGGTGAGTCAGCGCAGGGGGGCTGCAGGTCCACAGCAGGAGGCTGAGGTTCTGAAGCTTGGGGCAGGGGGTACAGGGCCACCAGCTGGCAGCCCCCAATACCCACTTGCTCCAAGCCCACCTTTCCAGACCCTCCCTGAGCAGCAGATATACTCACCTGTGTTCCAACCACCCTTTTCAGGAAGGGAAGGAGCTGGAGGCTCAGAACAAAGGAGACCCTGTTCTGGCTTCATCGTTAACCCTCAGGTGTCATTTTCTCACCTCCTGTAAGTCCCCCTCCCCCCAGCCACCTGCACCCRTGTACTCAAGCTGCCCCTCAGGCAGCACTAGGGCTGAAGCTGCACCTGCCCTCTCCGCAGAGCCCTCCCCCTCTGGGTGCGCCTCTCCCCCATTCCCACCACACCTGGATGGGGTGGGGGAAGACTAAGGCGGCTGCGCCTGCCTGGGGAAGAAAGCTACCTTGGAAAGGGTGGTGGGAAGAGGAGTGTGGGAGGCCAGGGTCCGGCGGAGGGCGAGGGTCAGGCGGAGAGCGGGCTCCCTCCCCCAGGCGGGGACCCCTAGGACCGCCGACCCTCCCCGACCCGACGCGGCCTCTGGGTCAGCGGGACGGGGGAGGATCCCGCACAAACCACGAAACACGGCGACGGCGAGGGGGACGACCGTCCGCGCCCTGTCCCCTTGCCTGGGACCCCGCCTGGGGGTCTACGCGCTCACCTGCGGGCTGGGCTCGGGTCTGGTCCGGACACTGGCGTGGACCCGCTGGARCTGCAACTCTGGGCTGGAACCGCGGGAGGCGGCGACCTGGGGATGACGCGGCCGGGGCTCCCGATTGGCCGGCGCGGCCCGCCCCTCCCCTAGGATCGCGTGGGGCTGCAGAGTCCCGGGGTCGCTGTCCCGGGGTTGCACAGCACCATTTCAGGGGCCGCGGGTCCGGTCCTCAGGCTCACTGCTTCCCGGGGTGGCCGCGGCTGCGCCCCGTACTCAGAGGGGAGCGCGCGGGGGTCCGGGGAAGCGCAACGCAGAACCCGCTTGCCTGGCCTGGCAGCTCTCCCCTGACCGCAGGGCTGGCCAGCCATCTAGTGACCCCGCCGCCCTGGGCCAGACGCACGCCTACAGTGGGTACTATCCTTGGCTTGCCCTGTGGGGCAGCCACAGCAGACCCCCGCAGCCGAGGTGAAGGGCTGCGTCCTGGGTCAGAGGGCTCGCCTGGTGGGACATGCGCGGGGCAGTGGGCAGAGCCCGCTGTTCCCTGGGCGCTGGGGCAGGTTCAGAAGCCTGGCTCTAAGAAGCAGATGTTCTCTGCAGACCCCGGGGCCAAGACCTCACAGGGGAAGAAGGCCTGGAGCTACTCTTCCTGGGTCCTGGTGGTTTGCTCCCCCAGGGTGACCAGGGAGATTTGGGGCTTGAGCAGAAACCGTGAGGAGAGACGGGGAGAAGGGAGGTCCAGACCCAGGACCTCCAAGTGCAAGGACAGAAGGCCGAGTTGAGAGGTGGCCAGGAGCAGGCCTCCTTGCAGACCTGAGGGCTGGGGAGGGCCCTGCTCTCCTGTTCTGACCGCAGTCGGGTGTGGGCACCAGCATTCTGCCCCAGGCTTTGTGAATTTCTACTCCTCCTTTCCCGCCTGCACTCTGCTCCGAGGGTCTCCTTCAGAGCACTTGGGATTGTTCACTCTTTCAGTCTGACTGGCTCCTTCAGGCAGAATCTGAGCACCCACAGGGCAGACATTTAAGTCTGTTTTGTTTACAGCTGGACTCTCTCTCCGCGGGTTGCTGGTGCTGGAGAGTTACCTTTCGCATGAACATGGGGCCAAGCTCACACGGACTGCCCCATGAGTCATGTTTTCCTCTACACCCTCCCTCCCAACGTGGACTTCCAACCCCAGTTATATCACAGGTTCACTTGCAGTGAGATTTATGTCTCTCTCCTTGAACTACAAGACGTAACTATTCATGTCTTTCTCGTTGTTGGGTGTGAGCTATTTTTTAGTACTACCAACTGTCTACTGAATACAGTGTTCAGTTTTACAGTGAATTCTGCCAGGGAGAAACCTACTTTTCCATTTTACAGAGAAGGACACTGGTGGCCAGAGGGAATCAGTGGCCTGGTAAGGCTGCAGGGCTAACCCCCTGGGAGGCAGGCCTTGCGTGCCCAGGGCCTGGAACCACGTGGTGCTGTTTTTCATTCATTGCCCACCCTGTGTGCTCATACCCAGGGGCCTCCATCTCTGTAGGCAGACAGAAAAACTCTGGAACAAATGAATCTATTCACAAGCCATTATGAGTTATCCATTAGTTTTAATTTACATTCATCTGTCAAAACAGCCCAATCATTCTCTCATGTGATCAGAGCAAAGGGCAGACTGACAGGAGCCSTCACGCAGGTTAAGAACCAGACTCTGAAGCCTGGCTTCGGGGCCCACATCTTGACGGTCCCTTTCTTGCTATGTGATCCTCGTCAGGTTACTGAAGCACTTTCTGTCTCAATTTCTCTGCCTATAAAATAGGGAAACTAATGGGATGTACTTTTGGGGTGTCTGAGGATTCATTGCCATAGTATTTGTAAGACATTCAGAAATTTCCTGGCAGGAAGGAAGGGCCTTGTAGGATCTAGCTTTCCAGTTTTTCTATGGAGAAATGAAAACACCATGCCCAAATTCAGTGGCTCCTCTTTGGATTTTTAATTCGTCTTCCTTTCTCTTCCTTTGAGCTACTGCCATAGCAGAGCAATGAGCCATTTGGATGAGGATGGTCCTTGTCAACCATGAGCAGGTGGGCTGTGTCATCCAAGAGCTTGCACAGTGAGGGAGGAGGGGGTGGAAGCCGCTGGTTGCTGGGTACACACCACAGACCAGTGTGATCCAGGAACTCACGACCCCGGGCGGTTGTAGGACAATGGTGCCTTTAGGATGTCTTGGTGCCAGGTGTTTTATTTTGTCTTTGTTTATGAGTGTGCTAGCTTTCCATTATTGTGATGAAATACCTGAGAAGAACACTTTATCAGGTAGAAAAGTTGGTTTGGCTCTTGTTTTCTGAGGTTTCAGCCTGTGGCTGGCCCTGTTCCTCTGGGCCTGTGGGGGCACAGCAAACCATGGCAGCTGGAGCCTGTGGCAGAGGAGGCTGCTCACCCCATGCCAACCAGGAAGCAGGAAAAAGAGATGGGGAGAGGCAGGATCCAAGGGCCCTCAAGGACACACCAAGGGGCTCACCTCCTCTCAGTAGGGCCCACCTCCTAAGGTGCACCACCTCCCAGTAGCGCTACAGGCGGATGAAGCCTCCCACACATGGCCCTTAGGGCACTCCAGATCCCAAGGCAGCCCAGAGCTGGGCAGAGAGCCGCCTCCCGTCCTGTTGCCTGGAGGGGTCCCTCTGCACATCCTGCCTGGTCCTCCCTGTTAGGGTGC